TGGACCCCGGAGAAGGGTGCGGCTTGCTGGGAAGAGGCGGGGGACGCTGGCAGAGAGGCCGGGAGAAACCAGAATCAGCCGAGCCACGCGTCTGGCCTAGGAAGGGGGTGCAGGGCGCCCCGAGAGCGTCTGCGCCCCTGGGCCTTGCCGATCGGGCACAGCGCGGCTCGGCCCGGGCGCCCGGGCACCCCCTGGCTGCACGTGGCCGGGCGGTGGCTCTAGGGGCGCAGGGCTGGGCCGGCGGGGGGCCGAGGCCCCGGGGGCGCGGGGGGCGCACAGCGGCCCGCAGCCTGCGTGGAGTCCGCCTGGGAAACCAGCCCGCGGCGCCCAGGCCTCGGGGTGCGGGGCCCGGCGTGGGGGGCGCGAGCCAAGGCCTCGGGCTGATCGTGATCGGGTAAGTGCTGCGGGGGAGAAGGGGGGTGGCCGCGGGGCGCAGTCGGTGCCGTGCGGGATTTGGTTTCCCCCCCCCCGGCGGGCGGAGTCTGCCCGCTCGGTGCTCTGGGCTCGGTGTCTCCCGGATCCACTCCCGACGCCGATGGCATCTGCACTTCCTCGCCAAGTCCTGCGGTCCCTAGGACCCGAGCTTTGGGTAACCGAGGACCTGGGCGTGTTCGAGACCCCGCTCTGGCCGGGCCGCGGCTGGGGTTGAAGTTCTCCAGCTCCAGCGCAGCGTGGTAGATAGAGATGGTGGCCAGTGAAGGCACAAGTGTGTGTAAACGCACTCGTTGGAATGGGGAGATCCGGGGGAGAACCCAAGCAGTGTAATTCCGTAGAAAGGCCCTGATCATAGCTTCCCCCCCCCCCCCCCAGGAAATAGCTACTTGAACTGGGTTCAGTGGGGTCAAAGGAAGAGAAATGGGGGAGGATGCAGTTGCGGGGGGCTGGGAGGGATGGGTGAGACGTGAAAGGGTGACCTTGATCAAGACGCATGGTATTCATAAACTGTTTTGTCCTATGTACAACGACTTAAAAAGCTTTTTGTTTTTGTTTTTCCCAAGAAGCAACCTTAGCAAAATGAATCAGCAGGAAGTGGGCCCTGGAAAGGGGCGGGACGGGGTCAAGGGGAGCAGAGGAGACAAATGAAGAGAAGAAGAGGGAAAGCGGCAAGAATCCAATGGCGCTGGGCACAGGTGGCTCACGCCTGTAATCCTAGCTACTCAGGAGGCTGAGGTCTGAGGATCGCAAGTGGAAGCCAGCCCAGGCAGGAAGGTCCTTGAGACTCTTACCTCCTATAAACTATTTTCACAAAAAGCTGCTGTAGCTCAAGTGGTAGAATGCAAGCCTTGAGAAAAAGAAGCTCAGGGGCAGCACCCTGAGTATAAGCCCCAGGACCAGCACCAAAATCAATCAATCAATCAATCAATCCAATGTATACCCTGCAAAATTAAGAAAAGTGAGGGAAGAGTTGGGTAGAGGAGGAAGGGATGCAATATATTGAAAGGGGTAACATTGATCAAGATATGTTGTATTCATCAACTGCTTTGTTAAATGGCAATTCTTTGTGCAACTACTTAAAGATAATAATAAAAATGGGAGGTTAGAGAGGGGGGAGAAATGCAGCCTAACAAAGAGATGGAGTAGGGATGTAGCGCAGTGGTAGATCACTTGCCCAGCATTCACAAGACCCTAGCTTTCATCCTCAGCCCTGCAAACATAAACATAAACGTGACCAGACTTAGATCATTGGCTGAATGTTTGCCACAGTTTAGTCTCTCCAGGAACCCATATTCTTTGGTCTAATTTATTCTCAAGTTGAATGTAATATGTAGATTCTTTAAAACTGAGAGATACCCAAATCTCTCACGGATTTTTTTTTTTTTTTCCCTGACAGAATAGATAAGAGCAGTGTGCTGAACAACCTTCATTCCATATGTTCTATTTAAATCCCACCAATTTTAATGCTGTAAAAGTGCAAATAAAAAGGTACTACTTAAAAAAAGGGGGTTGGGGAACGTCTGGATTTCAGTCACTTGTGCAGATTGGAACTCAGCCTTAATTTTGGTGCATAACAAATTAGAACAGTGCAGTTACATGTCTGTGTCAATCTCCCCAATGGGAACCTATGTCCTGCTCCCAAATTAAATGTGTTTCCAAGTGATTTATTATCTTTAAATTTAAGCAATGTAGGAAGAAATTGTCACGTCTATGTATTACAAAACATCACCTTTCCAGACATTTTAATATGCTCAAGTTTGAAAATACCAGCCTGAAGTGGTGGTGCACACCTATAATCCCAGCTAGTGGGACAGCAGAGGCATGGAGGCTGAACAGTTAGAGGCCAGCCACAGCAAAGTCAGGGAGGTTTGGCACACTTCCTTACCATGTATGGAAGTGGACGACTTGAGTATTTATAGGGGATTAAAGACGTTCAACATGCTGCCTAGCAGATCCATGCTTGGTTATTGTACAGAGAAGCCTACGAACAGAAGCATACTACAACAGAACACAAAGGATATATTTTATGGGCTCTGTTTTGAATTCACCACCTTAGTACCTCTTGGTCTGTAACAAGTCAGTAGCCAGCATCCGAGTCTTTTTGGTGGCCTTGGAGGTCATTGAAATATAGTTCAAACCTCTTAGATCACATGTTTTACATTTGTCTATGAGTTCCAAGAAGTTCCACAAAACATGAGGAGGGGAGGAAGGGAGAAGATAATACTGGGAAAATGATGTGGAATGAGATCGTGTTGTAATGCATTTGCTTTTTGGAAATTCCTGGGAATACTGCCACTTTCCCTGAGGTCCTGTACCCCAACTTCCCCCTCTCCTGAATAGCCACTTGAGCCACTACAATAGAACGGTTGCTCAGCTACTCCATTTGGAAAATCAGGCATTAAGTACTCCTGATTCAAGACAAAACTAGACTGTTTCTAAATGTATGCCAGCATCATGGTATCTGGTTGGAAGTAAGGCAGATTGAAGGCTGTTCCCCATTTCATTGCCTTACCTTAAGTCAACACAAGTTTTATTTGAAAGGAAAATATGGTTCCTACTACAAAAACATTAGTTTTCTTTTAAGGACCAGGAAGGATTTTGACGGGAGGGAATTAAATGCTTTAAGAGGTTCATTGCCAGGACATTTTAAAGATTAACAGGAACTTGCTTCTTGGTTCAGTTTCATAGTTTACTTAAAGTTTAAGTATTTTTTTTCTGTTTTAATCCTACATTGATTTTTTTTTTTAATGTTTTGAAGCTGTCTTGAGCTGGGGGCCAGTGGCTCATGCCTGTAAGCCTTGCTATTCAGGAAGCTGAGACTTGAGTATTGTGGTTCAAAGTCAGGCACACAGAAAAGTCCCTGAGACTCTTATCTACAATTAACCTCCAGAAAACCGGAAGTGGTGTTGTGGTTCAAAGGGATAGAATGCTAGCCTTGGGCCAAAAAAAATCCCCACCAGGATAGCTTCCAGGCCTTATGTTCAAGTCCCATAACTGATCGCCCCCCCCTGCCCCCCCAAAAAACTCTCTTAAAACCCAGAATATACACCAGACAATGATGCTAAAGAAAAAAGAGTTAGACTTCATATTGACTTAAAAGAACGTGTTGCATTTAGCATTAATATGGGGTTCATTCTACACTGCAGTGTAGGTTGGGTTTTTCAAGGACAAGGGAGCTGGTCAAGGGACAAGCTGGTATCTAGCGCGTGACTGACTTGCCCAATCTTATGCCCTGGAGTAAGGCTGTGTCTGAATTCCTGCCAACTGCTCAGGGCAAGGTTTACTTCTCTTAATGTCAGAGAAACTTGTTACTTTAGCTAGTTAATAGAAAGGTACCTGAGGCACTGTTCTAACTAGCTATTGACAGCCTTGTTCCAAGAAAAGACAAGTCCAGGCTCCATGTGTTCATGTTCCATGTGTTCGGAGAAATAGGGCAGGGGAAGAGGAGGAACTTCATACAGAAAGCAGTGAATGTTGTTGGGCCTTGACTTAGGCTTTTGTTGTTTTGAAGAATTTACACTCTTTGTGAAAGCATTACAAAATAAGTATGGGCCAAGGGGAAAGGGATAGAAGAATGAAGCAAGGAAGGGGAAAGAATGCAGGCAAGAATTCATTGTATGTACCACAGAATTGAGAAATAGAAGGGAAGGGGGGGGGAGAGGGGGGATGAATATGTTGTAATGGTGACACAGATCAAGAAGCATTGTACACATAAATTGCTTTGTTAAAAGACAAAAAAAATTCAATACATAACCTAAAATTAAGATAGGGAAGGGGTGGGGAGGGACGAGTAGGTGAGAAGGTTGAAAGGGATAAAATCGATCAAGATGCACTGTAGTTATGAACTGCTTGGGTGAATGGCAAATCCTTTCTACAACTACTTAAAGATAATAAAAATAGCTGGGTGCTGGTGGCTCATGCCTGTTGTAATCCTAGCTACTCAGGAGGCAGGGATCTGAGGATCGAGGTTCAAAGCCAGCCCAGGGAAGGAAACTCCGTGAGACTCTTATCTCCAATAAACCATCAGAAAACTGGAAGTGACATTGTGCTAGCCTTGAGCTAAAGAGCTGAGGGACAGCGCCCAGAGTTGAAGCCCCACGACCACCACCATCACCACCACCACCCACAACAAAAGATGATAAAAAACATTCCAAAAAATAATTAGATGGGGTGGTGTGTAACTCATGTTGTAATTGGGAGTTACAGGTTAGGAGGACTGCAGTTCAAAACCAATGGGGGGGGGGGGGGAGGAGGAATGATAGTGAGTCCCATCTCAACTAACAAGTCAGGTGTGGCAGCTTGTATCCATACTCCCAGCTACATTTGACACAGAGGTAGGAAAGGCAAAGCGAAGTATATTCCAGCCTTGGCGGAACCATGAGACCTTCTGTCTGAAAATAACTAAGCTTAGATAGTAGAAGGCTTGCCTAGTAAGCATGAGGCCCTGAATTCAAATCCCAATGCCAACCCCCTCCCTGCAAAGCTATGAGAGTGTATAGGTTTTAATGAGTAAAGACAAATTATTTCTCCAGGAAGACATTTTATGTTTTAATTTTGTTCTGTAGAAGAGGACTGTCAGAAGGCCCTAGGAAACCCAGTGTGCTTTTGGAAAGCAAAGACTCTTTACCTGCAAACTTTACAAGGAATGTGCAGAAAGCCATTGATAAATACACCAGGTAAGAATTAACCTCTTAGACGCTGCTGATGACAAAATTCAACAATGTCCATATAAGCATAGGAAACAAAATCCGTGATTAGATCCTATGAGCTTTGAAGAGTAAAATGCAGGGGTTTTGTTGTGGTGGTGGTGTTGGTGGTGGTGATTGAACACCCTGAGCATTTTTGCTCAAGCTTAGCACTGTACCACTTTGAGCCATACATAGCTTCACGTCTGGTTTTTTGGTGGTTAGTTAGAATAAGAGTCTCACAGACTTTTCTTTCCTGGGCTGACTTTGAACCATGATCCTCAGATCTCACTCAGTCTCCTGAGTAGCTAGGATCACAGGTATGAGCCACTAGAGCCTGGGGCAGTTTCAGTTTTGACCCAGTAAAAATGACATATTGCAAATATATTTTAAATGTATAAAAGGTAAAATACATCTGTGCTATTTCTACATGGTATCTGTTTAATATTTAAACTATTTCAGCGGTCTTTAAAATGCATTGTCCTGTGGAATTCACAGATCTAATTAAGGAATGGTAGAAAATAAAGGCCTTGAGAAACACAGTCACTTGCTTGACTTACTGTGGAATTTCTTAGGGTAAAGTTTATTTCTGTTGCTTGTGTTCACACCCACAGTGAATCCTCCACATTCTCCTCCAGCGGGAGTCGCACACCTACAGAGGCCCACAACTCATGGCCGGGGTCTTCCACACAGAGTTCCACCGCTGGTCTGTCTACAGAGAGGAGCTCGGTTTATTCCTGGAGAGATGATGTATGTTATGTTTCAGAACACGGAATAATCCTGTGCTTGCAATGTGTACTGAATTGCATTCTTTATTATTTATTATTTTAGTGTAGTTACTTTTAGATAGAGTCTTGCTTTGTTGCCCAGGCTGACTTTGAACTCAGAATCCTTCTACCTCCATCTTCTAAGTGCTGGGAATACAGATGTGTGCCACCACATCTGGTTAAGAATTGCTTTCTTATCTTCAAAGAACCTTGTCATTCTTTTTAAAAGCATTGCCTACACTCATGCATCTCTCACTATTTACATGTTAAAATAGGAAAATACAGAGAAAAACATAAAGATCACTCATACTGTCAGAGACTCAGACTTTCTAGAGTCTTAGCTGTTGGAGGTTTGTTTTTCCTACTCCACAACTCAACCCCGACAATATTACATATAATTTCTTGTACAGTATCTATGGCTGGAAACCCAGTATAAAACCCTGGCAATTTCTTATTAAGAAGTCAAATAAAAGAATGATTTTGGAAAATTGAGGACAGTGAAACATCTCCATAACTGGAGGATTTCTCCCCGATGCTCTGAACTGAGTATTTCACTTTCATCTTTTAACCCTAGGGAACCCATGACCTGGAACCCTACCTTGCATCTTTGTGGTGGTGGGAATCTTAGCTGGGTAGTTTAGTTCCAGCTCCAGCTTTGCTGGGAACTCAGCTGCCTCTCCAGGCTCCGCCCAGTGGCAACCCCTTACCCCCCAGTGACCCTGTGCAACCTGGAATGTAGGTTTGGCAAAGTGCCATCTGCCTGTGGAAGAGCCTCCACTACACTTCTTGGGAGTTCTACTTCCTTGTTTGTCCTCTTTCTTTGCTTTCCATCCTCTGGCCTCCTCTTAAAACCTTCATATAACTGGGGATAATTTATTTCTGCTTTATTGATTAAAATAACTTTAGTGACCCTAGGTTCAGAAGTAATTTCTCTTCCTGTGGTATCATCAGAAGAAAAAATACCTTGTAATTTGTGTGTGTGTGTGTGTGTGTGTGTGTGTGTGTGTGTGTGTGTGTGTGTGTGTGTGTAAGAGAGAGAGAAACTGTTGCATTGGTTCATCTGAGTGAAAAGCCCACATTCTTTCCCTTGTTTGAACCCTCATGAGTATATTGTCTTTTCCAACATAAGCATCATTACTTGGAGAGCCTGGTGCTTCCTGTCATAACTAAATTTGCATTTCTGTTTCAGGAATTTGACAAAGTCAATGCACAGAAAGTGCAGCAGCTGTTCTGGGAGGTGGAGGAAATGTTATTTGAAGGGAAAGTGAGTCCCCAAACCCAGAATCTGCTGGCGGAGTGCAGCCAGTGGGCAGAAAGATCTCTCCATCTGAGGTAGGGGGCCGTGCCCAGAAATTCTCTGAAATGCCTTTGCTATTGATGGCTCCTTCCTGGAATTATTTGCTGAGTCAAAATATGTAGGCCGAGCATGGTTCTTTCTGATAAGTGACATCATTTGTTTTGGTGCCAGAGGGAGACATTAATACCTGCCAATATTCAAATGCCCTGTTATCTGTCAGGAACAAGTCTGACTAATCCTCAGAAAAGCTCGATATGAATAACGAACGCTGGAACATTAGAAGTGATTTTTACCTTCGCATTCTCTCTCCACGAGTGTCAGGCATCTGACCCTGGGCACAGGAAGGATTCTGGAGTGGGCAAGTGCTGATTTTCTGAATGATTAGATGTACTTCTCATCTCCTCGCCATGCTTCCTGGGGGGAAGCCCAACTTTCATATTTATAATATCAAAAATAGAGGGTATGGAGTGGGTGGGAGAAAAACTGCTTTCTTCACCCTGCCAACCCACAAAGGGAAACATTCTCTCCGTTCTTGGGAGTTCTTCTGCATTACAGTTCTGGAGAATGATCTAGAACATGAGTTTTCTGATTAGCTTGATGGTATAACTCACAAAATAAACGTTATAGATGTTCATGGTGACACATGCCTGTAATCCCAGCACCTGGGAGGACAGGGCAGGAGGATCATGGGCTTGGTTCCTTCCTGGGCTCTGGGCTACATGGGGTGACCTTATCTCAAAAACTAAAAAGAAAACAGAAAGCCTTGACCAAGTCGGTAGAAAATTTCCCCCTCATCCTTCATAATCTCCTACCATAAGGAATACAATGTGCTAATCGGATATTAATTATAGATGTGTATTTTTCTGGGGATGGTGTAGCCGGCAAATTGTCAGGAACATAGGCTTATTTCTGTCACCATTACCATATGTTTTACAATATAAATGAAGAAGGGAAATTGGGGAAAGGAAAGATGGCCAAGGCCATACCTATATGGGCTTTCAGTCATTAACATTCAGATATTACCAGTAGTGAGCATGTCTGTCGCGTGCCTTGCCTTAGGCATCTGCGTCCATCGTACATTAGCTCTAAGTTATTAATCACTGTGGTCAGATCATTAAGAGTCTGTTTTGTCTATGAAAAGCAAATGATCAGTAGCTGAGAGAGGCAGAGAACTGAGTTCTGACCCAGTCCAAAGTCAGAAAGACTACCCTGCCCACTCAAAGCCCACTCTGCTACCACCATGCTTCCACACGCGCAAATGGTAGCAAGTGACAAGGTGATTGCCCTCTCCTCTTTATATCACATCACGTGACAGGGTTCCCCTGTTTGATCAAAGGTAGGAGCAGCTTTGTGGTTTCTCCCTTTTACAGGGTGTTAGGAAGACAGCTCATACCTCCAACCGATGAGGGCTTCCGGCACTTCCAGAGGAGTGAGGCTGCTTCTGCCCACCACAGGCCTCTACCTGCTGCCCCTGAGCAGAGTGGCAATGTCAGAGAGTAAGTTTTTCCATGCCATTTTAACTGTTATTTTAATTATCCTTTGCATGTTGACCTCATCCAGTAGGCTTGCTTCCAACAGATACTCAAATTTCAATCTCAGCACAAGACAGGTATAGAGCATGTTTATTTATAAGATGCTTCTAGGGGCTGGGAAGGTGGCTCAGTGGTAGAGTGCTTGCCTTGCATGCATGAGGCCCTGGATTCGATTCCACACTACCACGTAAGCAGAAAAAGCTGGAAGTGGCGCTGTGGCTCAAGTGGTAGAGTGCTAGCCTTGAGCTGAAATGCTGAGGGACAGCGCCCAGGCTCAGAGTTGAAGCCCTATGACTGACAAAATGAAATAAGGTAAAATAAAAGGTAAGAAAAGAAAAGAAAAAAGATGCTTTTAGATCCTAGGTGATGATGGTGGTGATAATGATGATGATGTTGGTATGTGTGTGAAATAGAGGAGAGAAAGAGAGCAATAAATACAGAATATACTCACAGGCATATGGAGTTATTTTCAAAAGAAAACATGGCCTATGCAGTAGAAAAGAGAGCTTTTTTGTATCCCCTACCATTATTAACAGATTTTTGATAAATCTCTTTCTGCCTTCATACATATTCAGAATCATGCGGTGACATCTTTTTTTTTTTTCTCTTACTGCAGAGTAGATACAGACACATAGAATATTCCAAGGCTCTAAGAAGCCCTTAAAATTTATATCACATCTCTAGTAAGGGATATGAGTTTTGGCAAATGCGCCACTGAATGGTTTTACATTTGAGATGCTGTACTCTGTGGAGAGTTGGAAGGTTCACCACAATCAATCTAGCATTACACTGTTCTACAAACTCCCATGTAGACTCTGTTTTGTCCTCACAGGTTGTGCATCTCTGGCTGCCAAATAATCCCAGCTGCCTTCCCACCTTCTGCCCTGCCAGGCCCTGAGGGCACAGGGATTGCTGACCTCCACGCATGTCCATCCCTGGAAGAAGAAGTTTATAATGAGGATGGGAAGTTTGAAGAGTATTTTGCCTTTGATGGAAAAGACAAGTAAGTTGAATTTATTTGGTATTGGTTTCATAATATAGCATTTATTTGTTTGACATTTGTTTTATTATATGATCATTAATTCTTTGTGTATTCTTCACTTACTTAAATGATTTCTGTCCTTTGGTTTTTTTGGAGGGTCCAGGTCATGGGGTCTGAACTCTGGGCCTGGGTGCGCTCTACCACTTGAGCCACAGCACCACTTCTGGCTTTTTTCTTTTTGCTTATGTGGTGCTGAGGAATCGAACCCAGGGCCTCAGGCATGCAAGGCAAGCGCTCTACCACTGAGCCACCTTCCCAGCTCCTCAATTTCTGTCCTTTGGAAAGTAATAGATCCCTCAAAGGTTTTAGATTGCTGGAAGGAATCTAGCACAGGCCAGAAAAGGACTCATGTTAGGACTCCAGGCTCTAACACTAACAGTTTACCAATCAAAAGAACAGTAAATGCACTAAATGCATGTTTCATTCATGAATGAAAACCTACAAACACAGTATAGTAAAAATTTGTCTGAATCCAGGTACTGTGGCTCAAGCCTATAATATCAACTACTCACAAGGCTGAGATCTGCGGATCTCAGTTCAAAGTTAATCTGGGCAGGAAAGTTTCTGAGACTCTTATCTCCAATTGACTTACCAAAGAGCTGTAAATGGAGCTGTAGCTCGAAGTGGTAGAGCAATAGCCTTGAGCACAAAAGGTTAGGGACAGTGTCCAGGCCCTGAGTTCAAACCCCAGGACTGACACATACACACACACACACACACACATGCACACCCACCCACCCACCCACACACACAATCTCATGATTGAAAATTGATACAAAGTAATCAGGTTCTAAAATCAGGCCTAACAAATATAAGGAGATTGATTTCATATCAAACATCTTTTCTGACCACAATGACAAAAAAATAGAAATTGTTAGGAAGGAGGAAACTGGACAGTTAATCCATATATAGAAATTAAACATTGTTCTCCTATAGAAATAGTGGGCCAAACCAGGGTAAAAAAGAAAGCAGGAGAAGAGCTTAAGACAAAGGTAAATGAAAATACAAACTTAAGGGATACAATAGCCCTAAGAGGAGGAGAGTTTGTAGAAATAAATACCTGCATTAAAAAAGTAACCAAGATCTCATATAAGTAAACTAAACTTATACTTGATGGAATGAAATTCATAACAATAAACTAAGCCCAAAGTTAATAAAGGAATCATGGAGATTAGAGTCTCTAGTTAAAGACTAGAAAAAGAAAAATAGAACAGATCAATGAAGCTAAGAATTGCTTTGTAAATGAAGCTAAGGGTTGCTTTGTTTATTGTGCTTTCTCTCCTAGGTTTATTGAGGCATAATTAATAAATAACAACTTATATATTTAAAACAACCATGTGCTGCTGTGTTAAAAGTGTGTTGTGTATATTAATAAAAATAAATATGTAGATGCTTGCAAGACAGATGAAATAGACAGGTAGATAGATGATAGATAGATGGATGGATAGGTAGATCATTGTAGGTAGATTTATTTTAACTTTAACCATGAATATTTTAATCATTAAAATGGGTTTTCATCTTCAGTGGTGACGAACAGCTGGGACAAACATCAGTTCATCATGGCAGAAAGTGGAATAAACACGGGCTTCCTCCTGTGTCTCCGCATGACTGTATCAAAGATGCCGTGGCAGCAGAAGTGTTTGATCATGTCTGGAAAAATGTGGTAGAAATACTCCAAGAGCTGATTCGAAAAACTTGGGAAGCTACGGTCACAGGTACTTACCTGTTAAATTTAGCTTACTAAAAAGAACAAAAAGGGCATTATTGGTTTGAAAAGTGGGCTTTCTGCCTTTATTTTATATTATTCATTTTTGTTGATCATAGGATTTGATCTCAGGGCCTGGTCACTATCTCTGAGCTTTTTTTGCTTACCAAAGAAGCCACATTCCATTTCTAGTTTTTTTGGGTGGTATGGGAGAAAAAAAGTCTCATGGACTTATCTGCCTGGGCTGCCTTTGAACCATAATTCTCAATCTTAGCCTCATGCGTAGCTAGATTACAGGAGCGTGTCACCAGCACCTCGCTTCTACTTTTATTTATGGGTGATTTTTAAACATTTTTTTTTTTCAAAAAGGACATTCTTGTTTTGGTGTTCTCAAAATAATACACATGCATTCTATAAAAACAACAAAAAACAAATACACATAAAGAAAGTAGAAGACAGTTTTAATTGTGATTAAAACAACCTAGTTGACTAATTCTAATAATTAGATGTTACTTTTTTAATCACATGGCATTTCTTATGAAGAAAATATAAATATAACTAATTTAATGATTGCTTCAATTATCTTCAAAATATGAAATGCTCTCACATCGAGCATTAGAAATACTGATGTGGGGCATTAATGACTAATTTGATGTAGCAGTTGATAGAATTGGCAATAATAATCATGTGGATTTGAATACTGTTGTTTGTCCAGTCAAAGGGATTGGTTGGACTGTCATAAAATGAAGAGAATCTCTGCTGTGTAAAGTCAGTCCTTGCTCTGTTCCCTGTTTGTCTATTGGTCACTGAGCATCCCCATGAATTGACAATCCTGGGGAGGTGGGGAGGGAGGATAACTACTTGGTTCTCGACTGTAGAACTCTTTAATTAGAGGCCACCTGGGAACCTGTGATGACTGAGGAACAATCAAGGACAAATTTCATCTTTGGTAAGTGTCACTTTAGGCAATCTGATGTTGCTCAACAATTTTTTTGCTGACACAGAAGGAAAAAAGCAGAACGAAAAACTGAAAGTAGCTGAGAACAGAGCTTCCAATGTGTATATCTCCCGGGTCAGCACTGAGGTGGCCAGCGTCCCCCCGTCTAGAAGTTCTGAAACTCGTGGCATGTCACTAGCCTCTCATCTCCATCCTCCTCAGGTACCCCAATATCCACCCACCTCTCCTGCCTTTGACTTTTATATCTCTCTTCTCAAGTGGTAAAGAATGCTATTCGATTCAGTTCCCTTAAATCAAGATATTTGGGTGTTCTTCAATCAGTTAAAATGTCATATTTTGACTTACTTTATGCCACATAATGTAATTTCATATGCTATATAAGATGTGATAGTTAAACTTAAAATATAATTATTTTAGCTTATATAGTGACTTTGCGATGGTCGATAGAATTACCATGTTCTCTTTTCTCCTCCCCTGCTGTCCTATTCTTTATTAGTTGTACAAAAAAATTCATTGTGATTTTTCTGTACAGTTTTAGTAAGTTATTTTACGCTATTTGCATATATATATATATATATATTTGTACTTTGATCATATTTACCCCATCACTCTTATTGGTCCTCTTAAACAGTCTCCCTTCACACACAATCACTACATTCTTTTATTTTTTAATGTTTTAATAATTTTTATTGAGATTAAGTCATTACATAAATTTCACAAATTTCACAGTATTGTGGGATAGTGATACTTAAAGTCACAAGCACATTTAGCCTTCACAAGGCAAATTGTCATTATCATGGTCTATAAAGTTTGTGAATTCTATAAGCGTTGACAATACAACTATTTCTTCCCAAATGGTGAGATGTACATTTCTTTCCTTCTGCTTAGTGTCAGCTGTTCCCTCTTTCCCTCTCATTCCCTCCCTCCCACTGCTGCCCTTGAGTTGCTTAGTTCACTTTCATCAATGTCCAGTGCAGCTGATGGGCCTCTCTGCTGTATTTTTTCACCTGCTTCCTTCTGACTCTGTGCCTTCTTCCCAGCTTTTCTCAGATGTGCACATATGTATACCATACATTCTTAATGAACACTTAGACACTGCTTTGATACATGGGACTATTATATTTTGTGAGAGCAAATAAAACACTTTCTCTAAATTTCTAGCTACTTGTGAAGTTACGAATGGCCTCCTGTCTTTCCACCAAAGTGACAAAAATAATCAATTCATATGCATTGGATTCACTGAATAGTTATTGCTAATATGAAATGTACCATATTCAATATAGTTTGGAGATGTATAGATGAATGAAACACTGTGTCTGACCTAGTAAAACAAAATTTATAGCAGAAGGTCAGATGCAACACATTCTGTATTGTAAAACAAAGCATCGTGGAAGAATCAAGGCAAGAATGGTTCATCCTGATTGGACAGTGAGGACTGATCTACAGTGGAGGTGAAATCAGAGCAGAAATATGAAAAGATGGGCAGAGATTTGTAAGTAGGAAAGCTGGTTGAGCCACTTCAGGCTGGACAGAAATGTGGGTCTGAGAAAGATGGAGGTGTTTAGGGAACAATGATTAAATTGAAGACAGAGTAGCAAACACTGGGTTTTGAAGTCATGAGGCTTATTTTGCACATTTCAACGTTTCTAAACTTCCTATCTGTATAGTGAGCACAATAATATGCTGTCTATGCGATTGTTTTGAAAACGTCAAATCAGGTACATGTAAGAGCTCCCAACACCAAACCAGACATAAATTAGGCATGCAATTCCTTTTCTTAGGATTGTGTCTTTACTGAAGGATCTAGTAGCAAGTTAAGCTAGAAAGGATGGATTGACTCATGCGAAATCTTCAGGGTACCTATGGAAATAGGGCATCATATTTTACATGGCCTATCTTATTGGGGATGAAGCAGAAGAAAGATCAAATAGGATTCCTGGTCCTACACTAGACATTATTTACAGTTTAATTGGAGATGATCAAGCCACACCCCCCACAAAGATATAATATTGATGACTAAGGGTTTGAACTTTGCACCTAGGATACAATTAATTAGTGATTTCAAATCAGTCCCTTTTTTTTTCTAAAATCTTTGATTTCACCTTGTGCAGGTGGCTCATGTCTAAATCTTACCTACCCAGGAGGGTGAGATCTGAGGATCACAGTTCAAAGTCAACCCCAAGCAGAAAATCTGTGAGAGTCTTACCTACACTTAGCCACCAGAAAGCCAGAAGCACAGCTGTAGCTCAGGTCATAGAGTGCTTGCCTAAAGTGAAAAAACTCAGAGGCAACAGAGTTCAAGCCCCAGTTCAAGTGCAAGACAACAAAAAGCAAAAACCTCCATTCAGTTACCTATGGATGATAGGAAGCTGTGAGAATTAGAGAATGTAAGACATTTAGTACAGTGTTAGTTTTTGTTATAATCAAATGCTGATTAATGCTATACATCATACCATATTTTACAACTAGATATGTTAAGTTCTAAGGGGTTCAGAGGAAAAAATATCATCCCTTTCACGAAGTAATCATAAACTAAGCTCTGCATGATAGGTTAGATTTGCTAACCCTGAAAAAGGAAAGAAGTTCACCTATGTATGAGGCATAATAATAAATGAGTAAAAAATCTTTGTAGGAGGGAAGGATGCAGGCCTGAACACACTGAGTGGGGAAAATGGCACTTGCTAGACTTCTAGTGTAAAGGATTTTTTTTTGTCAGCTGTGGGGCTTGAACCCAAGGCCTGAGTGCTATCCTTGAGCTCTTTTGCTCAAGACTAGCCCTCTACTATGTTGAGCCACAGTGTCACTTACTGTTTTTGAGTGGTTAATTGGAGATAGGAGTCTCCCAGGGACTTTTCTGCCTGGGCTGGCTTTGAACTGTGATCCTCAGATCCCAGCCTCCCGAGTAGCTAGGATTACAGGCATGAGCCACCAGTACCCAGGCAGTATAAAGGGTTTTTTTTGTATATATATTTTTTATTGTAAAAATACTATACAGAGGGGTTACAGTTACATAAGTATCAAGGTTTTTAACCATCACTGTTTGCTTTTTCCAATGATAGAAAAGTTTGGAGCTGCCATCTACTTGTTGGATCTTTGGTCTCTTTAAACTCTTCTGATATGTTTGACATGGTATGTCCTACTCAGTTTAAGAGGAGTAAAAAACATTAGGAAAATTATTATAAAGCATACTCCCTTTCCTGAGTTTACCTACATCAGGCTATTTGCTCCCTGTTAAGTTCTGACTGACCTTGTGATGGCACTGGACATGTTTTAAATTTTAGCTTCTTTTCACTTTTCTCAGATCCATCGCTTCTCCAACAATTTCTACAGTGATTTGAATGGTGTGATGACAATTCAAGCCAAACCGCTCCAGCAAAGGCCTTCCTACTCCACAGACAGAACACAGTATGTCTCAGGGATAAGCCGGCACTTCCCTATCCACACAACTCCTGAACACTGAAGGTCTTAGGGGGATGAGACAGCGAGAATCCCATTTAGTTCCACTCTCTGAGTGAACTGCAGGGGCAAATGCAGAAGGCGGCATGTGAGGACAGAAACAGTTTGTCTCACATCTACCACAAAATAACTCCTGCTGCAAGTAAGGTTGGGCAGGATGAGGATGAGGGAAAGTAGCTGTAAATTCTTCGTCTCTTAGGCTTTATTCTACAGGCAATGAGGAATTTAGGTCTTTTCTTCTGTCATTGATTCTTCATTGACCTAGCAGTGGAAATGGAGGTGGTCTGAGCGTTCTCAATGGATGCTCAAGGGAATGTATTTTGTGTGCTGACATTGGTGTAGGCAGTACTGAGAGGAACGCAGACATTGTTGTGTTCTCTGATCTCAAGACATTTATAGCTAAGTGATGAATTGGATTCCCCTCTCCTAGGAATGAACAAGAGGACAGATTATCTGGTGTGGGAGCCAGTGCTCTTTCCTATACCCGGGCCTGCCTGGGACGAATCTCAGATACTCGTGGTTTACAGACTTCGGGCAAGAAAACAGCAGTGCACAGGAGGCTGCCTTCTTTGCCTTCAGAATCACAGAGACTAAAAACTCCCAATGTGTACAGCGATGAGATTCTCAGAGGAACCAAACTGTGAGTCTTGTTTCTTTCATAGTCAATAAAGGATCACAAAGGACAGACACATGTCAATTGGGATTGATGGCTTAGCCTGGACACAGGTTCCTCTATCATATTTTAGCTAGAAGCTCTTTTAATAACTTCATGTACTTGAGTATTTACCACTAATTTTGTCTGAGTGGTATATGTAGGTATATACTAAATTGCAGTTCAGGCAGCTAAGTGTATTTAAGTGGAGTGGGCTGATATTGGGTGAATTCAGTAGCCACATCTGTAAAACTAATCATTAGTGCGCTTAAAATATCCCTAAGATGTAGAAATGAGCACAATAACGTTTCAGTCAACTACACACCAATTATATGGTGGTAGGCCATCGGTTGATATTGCCTAGTGACTTTAAAGCTATGTTTGTAGCTGTGTTTGCACTGGTACATCCTGTTATATTCACAGGATGACAGAATTCATAATGATACATTGCTCAGAAAGTATTTCTATCAATAAGCCACATATAACATACTTAAAAATAAAAGGTATGTAAGATGGAGCACCCTAGAATGCACTTATAACTCTGGAGGGAGACCAAGACAGAAGGATAGTTTAAGACCAGGGGTTTTGAATCAACTGGCCAATAAGGCAGGCAATAATCTCTCTCTCTCTCTCTCTCTCTCTCTCTCTCTCTCTCTCTCTCCCCCCCATTAAGTTTTGTTTGATTTTGAGGAAGTGTTTCACTTATGTGGGAGTTTGAGAGATAGTTTTGAGGCTAAATGTGATCGTTCTGTATAGATGTGGCACTGTGTACTGTAATTCCAGAATTCATGAGCTAAGGTAGAAGAATTCTAAATCTGATGTCAGTCTGAGGAATATAGTAATACTATCCTGAAGAAGGAGGATAAAGGAAAAGGGGAAGGAGGAGGAGGAAGAAGCAAAAGAGGAAGAGGAGGAAGTGGGAGAGGAGGAGGAGGAAGAGAAGGAGAAGGGGAGAAGAAAGAAGCATCAGCTTTGATCTCAGTAATTAACATCAAGATCCTTACCTAAGTAAAAAGCCAATAGTCTCTCACTTTGTCCCAGAATTCTGAAGGACTACTCAGACAACATATTGTCAAGCTATATTTATGTTCATGGTGACGTCTGGGGTTTAGTAATTGTTTTCTTTGTTGCCAACACTAGGTAGATGGATCACATTTATAATCTTATTCTAACCACAGACCTTTATTACTGGGGTATGTATATGTGTGTATTATTATCTCAATAATAATTGAAAGACAAGGGAGGTGTAGTTCAGTGTTAGAGCCACTTACCTACTATGAGCAAAACCCTAAGTCCAATTCCAGTGTCTGTGGACAAGTGGGACATTAAAGCTGCACCAGAATCAAGGTAAGGAAAGAGAATAAGATATAGTTATGTATGGTAACTGTGTCATGGCTCTACAAAAGGAGGCTCAAAATTAACCCATAGATAAAGCACTACTACATGTACAGATAGTCTATCTGTGGCACTAGCTTTCTATAGGGGAGCAAATAGGAAAAGCCTGTACCTAACTTTCCCAAATATTCTAAGTTACCCCAAGTCTAACTTCTGAGAGAAGCTGAATAACATGCTAAAGATCTTCACACAAGAAGGCTGAGCTGGGGACACCTACCCAGCCCACTGGCCTTGGAGTCTACCCCCTGGGCCATTGTTACAGGATTTCACCTGCAAGAGAGTTGCCTGCAGAGGGGCTGCTCTGCAGATCACTGCAGGAATTGGAGGACTAAGCAATTTTCAACAATCACTCTCAGTCACTGGGTTTTTTTTTAATGCATTCCTAGTATCATTTTCAGCTTTTCTTAGGCCAGTGTTTGATAATTTCAGGATTGACATTTCCAATTGTATGGTATCTTCTCTGTTAATTTTTAAAAAAAAAATATTTTATTTTACTTTAATTTTGTTGGTCATGGGCCTGAACTCTGGGCCTGGGTGCTGTCCCTGAGCTCTTCAGCTCAAGGCTAGAGCTCTGTCACTTGAGCCACAGCACCACTTCTGGCCTTTTCTGCTTTTGTGGTGCTGAGGAATTGAACCCAGGGACTCATGCATGCAAGGCAAGCATTCTACTACTGAGCCACCTTCCCAGCCCTTCTCTGTTAATTAAAAAAAAAATTCTCAGCTGGATTCTAATGGCTTATATCTGTAATCCTAGCTACTCAGGAGGCTGAGATCTGAGGATCACAATTTGAAGCCAGCCCAGGCAGGAAAGTCTGTGAGATTCTTATATTCAATTAACCACCAGAAAACTAGAAGTGGAGATGTGGCTCAAAGTTCTAGAGCAATTGAGTGAAAAAGCTCAGGGACAGTGCCCAGGCCCTGAGTTCAAGCCCCACCACTTACAAAACAACAAAACAAGACATTTCTCCTTCCTTTTATTCTCAGTGTGGCCAGCTCCTACACCTTCTTCACTCCGATTTCAAGTGATCACCATTCTATGAACTTTCTTCTTCCTCCCCTCCAACGTCGACTTCTGAATCACACTTTTATCACAAACCACCTCTATTTCTTATCCAAATAAACACAGACCCTCCAACTGTACATTTCTTTATATCTTGTCTTCTCTCTGTGTAGACCAATGTGTCATCATTTGTTTCATGGTCATGTTATTTGTAATAATTCTCTGGTTTTTAAGAGGAGTAGCTAGATCTTTAAATCCTCTGTGCTCTGTTTATTTCCCAGAGTAGTTGTGTACTCAGTGAGTCCAGATTGACAGTCATAGTTAAACTAGGTCAGTGTAACTGGGGCTGGGGTTTCCTGATGCATATTTATCTTCCCATACTTCCTTGGTCTCTATGAGTGTTGCTTTAGGAAGGCAAACTGATAGTAGCACAAACGGGCAGCCTCATAGTTGTGTGTGTCTTACTCTCTCTGTGTGTATGTTCAGTGACTTGTTGTTGTATTTACAGGCAGACTGGCCTAGATCACCTGTCTTCCCCAGCAGTTCAAGCTTCCCGGAATAGATTACCCCCAATAGGCTCAGAAGTTGGGGAACAGAACACAGCAGTTTCTGGATCTCGCTTTGTTTCCGTAAGACAGATTTCATTATAAATGTAACCATTTAGATAGTTGGTTGGGAAGAAACAACACAACACAAAACGTTATTGGCATTTCCAAGAGAAGTCAGTACATAAGCTGAATAGTTGTATTCAGTATATTTTTATATAGGTTCCCAAAGAGTTTATGAACATTTACAGAAAGCACATGAGGATTTATGTAGTATGTGAGGACTCAATTCATCCTTTTGTGAAGTGAAATTGTCTTGTACTGACTAAATCAGAAAGACCAGGTGTCAAGAGGAAGACATGAAGCTTTAGGTCTAGAAACAGCAGATCTCTCTGGATCCTGCCTGTCAGACAGTATGGCTTGGTAGAGATTACTTAACTGTATCTGAACTCAATGCCCCTATCTCTTCAAAGGTAAAATGGTTTCTATCTCAAGGAATTATTATAAGGATTAGAGAGACTCATAAATTTCTAATAAAGCTAAATATAAATAAGAGCTCAGTAAGTGATTACTGTCTTCTTTTTTTTAGGAGTTCCCACAGCTAACCTTTGCCATGTTTATTTCAGTGTGAAATATCTTCACACACACGGTCCTTTTCCCCTAGCAGTGGAAATAGATGTGGGAAAGTAGACCACCTGCATATGGATCACCAGCCTTCTGCCAGCCTGACAGTGGCCTCTCAGTTCACTTGTGACTTTTGTATGAAGCCCAGAAGCTCCTCCCTGAGTTAAAAGAGAAAAAAAGAATCAAGCTAAGGTGTTTTCTTGCATGGGCTCAAACACAGCAGTAGAACCTGTTCTCAGAGGGCAAGAGGAAAACTCTAGTACTGAGCCAATAAGAGAAGGCCAACGTCACATTAACAAACCTGATGCTTTCCAAGTTCAGAATTGCGTGTCTATTAGAATTTAATATCAAGAATTTTACATAGTTAAGGATTTTGATCTCTGCTTACCTACTACTGCACTGGCATTCATAGGGTTAAGAATTACATACTTAAAGCATATGTAAGCATAGTTTCCTTAGTAGACTTAATACTTGGTGATATCTAAATAAAAGCTCCGAAGTCAGTGAGTATTAAGTGGGTGAACACTTGCAGCATATATAGTATGTTTTGCCTAAAGACTGTATACATTTTTTTAAAGCAAGAGTGTGTTGTCCCCCCTTTTAGTACAGAGGAAAGCACCCACAAAACCGTGTACTGAGTGCACTGCCTGACAGCACAGAGCGCTCACCTCTTCGAGAAAGAACCATTACCTTGGAACAGCGTTCAAGGCCCAGCACAACTCATACATTCCGGGTAGAATTCTCCATTTGATTTTTCTTTTTTTTTTTTTAAATATTTCCCCCAAAAAGTCAAGCTTGTCCCTCATTTTATTTTTCTCTTTACAGTCAGATACACCTCGGAAAGGTTCGTTGACACCCATGGAGTTTACTGGTCACACATGGACCGGGCAAAGTCTTTTAACAGGTTAGCTTTTCCCACTTATGAAGAGAATGTAGTAAGCTGGGAATGATAGTGCATGTCTGTAACCTCAGTACTTGGAGGCTGAGTTAGGAGGATGGTGAGTTCAAAGCTAGCTTACCTGTGTTACATTGTGAGAATCTCGCCCTCTCAATAAAATCAGTGTTATAATTTGTGACATTTCATATTTTAGAACGTGATAGTACAGATTATCTAGTTTAAAACTTCTGACTAGACCATGCAGAAAGATATAGAAGCATACCCTCAATGCATTTTCCTTCGGTTTGTTTTTTAGATACAATCTTGATCTTTTCCCCATGTCAGCATACCACAGTTTTCCTCCTTCCACCACCTGAGTATCTGGAACTATAGGCTGTACCACTTTCAGCCAGCCTGGCAGATATTTTTTAGCCTTAAAAAAAATTTCTCCTAAGCCAGGTGCCAGAGGCTCATGCCTGTAATCCTAGCTACTTAGGAGGCTGAGATCTGAGGATTGCAGTTCAAAGCCAGAAAGGCCATGAGACTCTATCTTCAATAAATCACTCAGAAAACCGGAAGTGGCTCAAGTGGTAGAGTGCTAGCCTTGAGCTGAAGAGCTGAGGGACAGCATTCCCATCCAGATTTCAAGTCCCATAACCAACAAAATAAATACATAAATAAATAAATAAAAATTCTCCTATGGTAATAGCTCCAGGCTGCTGTGTGTTTGCATGTTAGAGATCCTGACTACCACATGTTAAGTAGAGATGTTGAATAGGTTGTTGGGACACACAATTTGGGATAAAGATAGAGAACTAGACTGTATACTTAGTCGTTAGGCTTTCACCAAATACTGAGTCAGTACTGTTCCCTGGTTCTGGGAATTGAGCTGAGACACTTTGCACATGCTAGGCTAGCGTTCTACCACTGAGCATATACCTTCAGCCCAATGTATCCTTGTCTCAATGACCTTGAGATAATTTTAATTATTGGTGGCTAGCAGTCTTTTCAAGTCTATGAAAGTGCTATAGACAATATTTCTGAGGGTTTATATTCTTTTTGGTCTGATGAAAAGATACATGAAACTGTAACACCTCTTACAGTATCCTTACAATTAAATAAATATATATATATATTTAAAAAATAGATACATGACCACATTTATTCTTTGATAGGAAACATTTTTTAAAAATCCCTGAAGATGGGAAGGTGGCTATCCTCAATAGCAGGTAGGAATTTTTACAGCAGAGGACATTCTGCTCTCCCTGTGAAGTTGGACTAGAGATAGATAAGGAGGTTATAGCTCCTACTCCTTATTCAACTTCCTGGGACATAGGGAACAACCCAAACCAAGGTCTATACAGGAACAATCTCTTGCAAATTTGCATTTATGGAAGAAAGCATCCCAGAACTGTAGCTTCTCAGAGAGGTCATCCTTTTTTCTCAGGACAATAAAGGTGTGTGTGTGTGTGTGTGTGTGTGTGTGTGTGTGTGTGTGTGTGTGTGTGTGTGTGTGTGTCCTGGGGCTTGAACTCAGAGCCTGGATGGCTGTACCTGAGCTTTTATTTTGCTCAAGGCTAGCACTCTACCATTTGAGCCACAGCTCACAGACTTTTCTGCCCAGCCTGGCTTCAAAGCACGATCTTCAGATCTCAGCCTCCAGAGTAGGGTTTCTAGGGGTGAGCCATCTCTACCTGACCAGGTTTTTGTTTTTGTTTTGTATATGATAAACTATTTATTTATTGTATTAAAAACAAGGTTTAATCTACATAGGATGTCTAAAACGATCCTCTTGAGATGTTGAACTTCTACCATCTGTGAGAATTCCTTTTTGGTTTATGTTTTAGGTTCACAATATATGCCTAAATCTTTTCAGAGGACAACTTTGACTTCAAGGAAGAGGTTCCAAGTGGCATCTTGAAACTGTGTGCCCCAGAGTTATGGACTTACTGGGGCCTTCAAAAACCCAAACCACAAGTATTATACTATATATCTATTAATCTGCTTGTCTTACATTCTGACATGTGAGACTTGCTGAGAGAAATGTAAACCAATACGTTGACATAATGTTTTCATTGTACAGAGAATAAAAGTTGAAATGACTACTCTTTTCTGGTAGGTTCTTCAGACTTTGTTCAGAATACTCTAGAATATCTTTAAGTCCTCTCATTTGATCATCAGCAAATTTATATGATCATTCATTTGCAGGCTAAAAAATATAGGCATGTTAAATAAGAATAGCCACTTTGTAATTTTGTACCTTGATTTAAATTCTTTTTGGTTCCTATTCTCTAATTCATCAAAACACAGATCACAAGCAGATATACTTCTTTAAAAAATAGTAAAGTCATATTTGAGACAATCTGTCCATTTGAAAGAGATGCTGTTTGTTTTAATCATTGTGCTGAGTTTCTTTTTTGTTTTTTTTGGGGGGGTCCGGTCATGGGGCCTGAACTCTAGGCCTGGGCGCTGTCCCTCAGCTCTTCACCTCAAGGCTAGTGCTCTACTAGTTGAGTCACAGCACCACTTCCAGTTTTTTCTTTTTGCTTATGTGGTGCTGAGGAATCGAACCCAGGGCCTCATGCATGCAAAGCAAGTGCTCTACCACTGAGCCACCATCCCAGCCCTGTGCTGAGTTTCTTATACCTTTGTGTCAAAGCACCCCTGAACCTCTGTGAGGAAAGTCAGTGGCTAATTGGGAGCTACTATTGTGTGAAAACACAAGTAGCTTTCATTGTCAAAGTCAGACAGTCCATTTCAAAAACATGCCACATTTGTTGATACTTAAAACTGAATATAAACATAATTAAAATCTGGGGCACATAGTTGCCTGTTTGTTATGTCAGGTGCAATGTCCACCTACTAGAGGGTTTACTTTCAGCATCCTCTTCCCCCTCTTTCCAGCCTCGCTTCCTGACCAATGTTCAGATGATATCTCTGACACCTGCACCCTCTGTTTTTCCTGACCTTTGCTCAGATGACTCCTCTGATCCCTTAACCTCTGTCCTCTTGCTCTGCTCTTCTCCCTTCCTTCCTTCCTTTCTTCCTTCCTTTCTTTCTTTCTTCCTTCCTTCCTACCTTCCTTCCTTCCTTCCTTCCTTCCTTCCTTCCTTCCTTCCTTGCTTTCTTTCTTTCTTGGCCTGGGGCTTGAACTTAGGGGCTGGGCACTGTTCCTGAGCTTCTTTTTACTCAAGGCTAGCACTCTACCACTTGAATCACAGCACCACCTCTGGCTGTTTCTGTTTATGTGGTACTAAGGAATTCAACCTGGGGCTTCATACATTCTTGGGAAGCACTCTACCACTGAGTCACATTCCCAGCCCTCTGCTTTATTTTCTTTAGAACATGAGTCACATCTGACATTGCTATAGAAAGGGGAGTGGAGAATGTAAAGAGAAATATTAGTTAAGGAGATACCTTTACAGCAGTTTAAATCTTTAGAGTTGTTTACATATTCTTACATCTCAATCAGTCTAATTCCTTTTTTCCTAACAGATAATTCCCTTATAAATCTAATTTTCCTGACTCCAAAACAAAACTTGATAGATATAGATAGAAATATGTATTATCTAAATGTCTAATAAACTACTTTCACAAATATTTCTGGCTGAAAAGAATGAAGATCATTGTCTATTTGCTTAGAGATGTTTGAAAGTTTTAATGTATGAGGAGATTAGAATTAGTGTTGTTATATTTTATCATGAAATGACGAAGTTGAAATGGCCTGCACGCTCTTATGAAAGATTGTATGTCCTTATGTTATTTACCCCACCATCTGCAGTGCTGAAATAGATAAGGAGAATCACCAGTCTAGGGAACTCCATGTCCTAGCTCTGGAGAATAGTGGTAATGCTTAGTTCCCCACATCAAGCAGACTAGGGCATTAGGACCATTTGCTCAATTACTCCACAACACAACCAATGAAAACTTTTAAAAGAACACATTAGTCTTAATCAAGCAATTGTCCAGCCAGAAGAACTTGTAGATAAGTGAGTGCTCTGGATCCATGCGCCAAAGGTCACAGGTGAGTTTCTATCTGGCTTGTCATTAAATCTGCTACTACACCTGTCCACTCTCTTCACTCACAACTGTTTAGGTGCTTTATATCAGTTTCTTGGTACCATGTAATGACTCTCCCATTCATCTCAAACTTCTTAAAAGAAGACAGAACGTGGTCTATGTAAATGAACAATTAGGTCACGTGTCCATGACAAATTACTTTGTTGTTTTTAGAGAAACACTAAATCTATCTGATGGTAGCTTTACATTGCTTGATATGAGAGGGTTAAAAATGAGAACATATTATTTAAATATTAGTAAAATCATATTAAAAATAGAACCAGGCACGATTTTGAAATTTCTCCTTCAAAATTGTGATTGGAAGATAAAGTACTATTAGAGATTACAGAGGATTTGGGGCTCTTCTTCATTCTAAACAGGGTCTTCTTATAAAATTTATTTTTATTTTATTTATTTTTATATGTGGTAGAATGCTTGCCTTGCATGCACAAGACCCTGGGTTTGATTCCTCAGCACCACATAAGCAGAAAAAGCCAGAAGTGATGCTGTGGCTCAAGTGGTAGAGCTCTAGCCTTGTGCTGAATTGCTGAGGGACAGTGCCCAGGCCCAGAGTTCAGGCCCCACAACTGGCAAACAAAAACAAAACAAAACAACTTATTTATAGGTTAAATGAAGTTTAGAAGTCAGCAAATAATGCTTGTATCAAGAATGGTAGTTTTTAATCTAAAAAGTTTTTAGGGTAATGTTTGTCTTGTAGTCTACTTTGATAAATGGGTATTGTCTTACCATTTCTGTGATAAAAGGCAAATTTAATTGGATTTGAGATCTATTTCCAAGTACGGGTTAGTGACTACATTTATTAAAATAGCTGCTTCTTTATCCCAAACCACTGGAAGGAGTGAAATAATTTAAAATGAATTTCAAAAAATATAAAGTATAATAGAAAACTGAAGAATTTTATAAATTGAATAAATACAAGTGTCTGCATTCATATTATTTTGAACTAGAATGGACTTCCTATACCAATTGATAGGTACATTTTAAATATCATAAATCACATAAATTTTTATTATTGCTTTCTTATAACTACAGGTGATTCTTCACGATATTTGATTTTTTAATTTTAATTTTAATAAAATACAAAAGTGTTTAAAGAGTTTCCCAAAATGTATTGCATTGTAAAAGCATCTTTTCCTTAGCTCTTCAGCTCAAGGTGCCACTTCCCATTTTCTGGTGATTAATTAGAGATAAGGGTCTCATGGACTTTCCTGCCTGGGCTGGCTTTGAACTGTGATCCTAAGATCTCAGCCTCCTGAGCAGTAGGATTACAGGAATAAGCCATTGGTGCTGGGTTTTGCATTCTTAATATATGTAATCTGTGCAACTATCTCTCACTTTACAATTTTTAATACAAAAGCATTAAATTATTTCTAACTACATAGCAAAGTTCCTTCAGTGAATTCAAAATACATATTCACACAAATGCATGAAGGTAAGTTATGAATACTACAATTGAATAGTCCTTTATTTCACACAGTAACATGTTTAGCTGATAATTATTATGATTTCTTATTTCATCAAATATTAAATACCTTGTATAAAGTGTTATTAGTATTGGTATTAACAACACAAAATTATTGCTCTAAAATAATTTAGATTATAGGAGTATGCATTTTGCCTGAATGTACAATAGTTATTATTAGAGACTGAAAATAATGTTTGTAAAATGGAGAGGGTAGCAGAATAAAGGATACTGAGTTTGGTCAGTGTATGCTACAGCAAATACTATCAGTATGTATCAATAATACATGTTAGTGAAAAGTTTAAAAAATTACCGTTATCAATTTGTTGCAAACAATGAAACAGTTTGAGTCGTATGCTCAAGAAAATAGAGGAAAAAACACATAATTTAAAAAAAGAACTTGAATCTGACAAATAATCATTTGCATTTATAGAATTAAACACTAAAATGACTACATTGATAGCTTAATTGCTATGTTTAATAGCATAGTAGACACACGAAAATATCAGTGAGCTGAAAAATGAGGACAATACAACGAGGTAGACCTCATTCTAATGGTATGATGAGCATCTCTGTAATCACATGACTTCTGACAAGTGGCACAGTGGTATTATTGGTTAAAGGGCAATCTTCTCATAAAATTGGTGAACTGGATATTCATAGTTTTAAAAGTGGATACCTTCCTGCCTTGCGCACATGTTCACACAAAGACATCGATTAAGTTTTTGGGTCCAAATATTGGTGATACAAGTCTTTAACTTCTAGAACTTAACATAGAGATTTAATTTTTTTTTTATTCTATGGTGGAAAAAGGTATTCTAAACAGGACAAAAAGTAGTTATCATAAAGGAAAGGTAATAAATCGGATCTCATTAAAGTTATCAAGCCCTGTATCCATCCAAAGATATCCTGAATAGAATGATAAGCAAGCTACAGCTACTTGAACTGTGTATTTGCCGAAGGGTTTACAGTCTCACACCCACAGGTATTATACAATAATTGCTTATTGTGATCGCTGAAGATCTTGAGGTGAAAACTAGGACATTGCTCTTGGCCACTCAGCAAGCAGCCCAAGGCCAGCCACCTCCCTGCACCTGGAGCTTGCTCAGTAGGTGGAAGTTAGCGCTCCGAAGGCTGAATTTCCATCTTCATCCTTACAGGACTGCTACCACAGCCAGCATCCCTTCACCGCCAACCCCACGCGTCCCTCAGTCCTAGCTCAGTCCACGCATTGAGAGGGTGCGGGGTGGGGATGGGTGGGTGGGAAGGAGTGGCCTCAGAGCTCGTGAAGGCCGGTGATTTGCAGTTCGAATCTCCTCTCCATCCCAAACCACCCTAGGTGCGCCCTCCTTTGGTCCCCAAGGCCCCCCGCGGGCCCGAGACGGGTTTTCTTCTTTCGCTTTCACCTCCCCGAGGCCGTCGCGCAGGACGCAGGCGCCTGCAGCTCCAAGTGACACCAACTCCCCAGCGTTCTCGGGTTGGAAACCGGGTTCCCCCCCCCCCCCCCGCGCCGGATCCCCCCAACCACCCCTCAGCGCCCTGACGCTTGCTCCGGGTCCCAAGAGCGCTGTCGGGGGTGGGGAGCGGCGGCGGGACTGCGCCCACCCCAAACCCTGGCCCCAGGAGGAAAGAGGGAAAGAGCCTGGGGCCTGGTTTTTCCAGGGTCCCCGCCCTAGTCCCGAAACCCCTCCCTCTTACCCCCACCCCCCCCACCCCCCGCCCCTTCAGTGCGCTTGAACTTGGGAGTTGGAGCTCCGGGGCCTTAGCCAGAGCCCTGCCCCAGCGCGCCCCGCCCCGCCCCGGGAGGACTCCTCATCTGTAACCCCTCTCCCCGCCAGCCCTAGGCCAGAGAGACAGGGAGGCTGCCAGGGAGATGACTGGGCACTGGCTGGGGTTACTCGGGTCGAAGCTGCTGCTCTGGGGAGCAGCCAGCGCCCTCTCCCTAGCCGGCGCCACCGTCCTGCTCCACCTTCTGCCGATGGTGGCGAGCTACGCGCGGAAATGGCAGCGGATGAAGCTTATACCAACCGTGGGCCGCGCCTTGCCCTTGGTGGGACACGCTCTGATGTTTAAACCCAGCGGGAAAGGTAACGGATCTAAGGGAGCGGAAGGCAGCGCACCCCGACACTTGACCGTCCGGGACCAGAACCCCCTCCCAAGTGTCACACCCCGGGTGCCACATTGTGAGCCTGGACTCCCCAGTTTAGCTTTTCCTAGACCTGGAATCTCAGTACTTGAGGATCTCAGTACTTGAGATTGCAGGATGCAATGACGACAGAATCTGTCATCTGCTAGAAACTGGCGACCCCATTCTATGGGCTCCCCTTGGGCACTTACTCTCCAAACGTGCCCGGGGGCCCTCCTCTCTCAGTGATCTCTTTCTTTAGATCTCACACAGAATGCAGCAAATGCCCGTCCTGCTTTTGCTTTTGCTTTTCCCATTTGGCGCTACTCAGATCTTAAAAGCTTGTCATTTTTACCAGTCTTGGTTTGCAAAGCCATGAAAACAGAGGCCCCTCTTGCCTTCAAACCTAGCGCAAGATCTGCTGTCTCCCACTCTGGAAAATAGACGAAGGCTTCTCCCACGCGGCCAGGCAGACCTCAGGCGGCGTGGCTGCTGACTTTCTGTATGTGTAAAATCATTGAGGCATCCTCAACGAATGTACAGGTGGCTATTTTTACACTTGCGTCTGGGAGAGATAAAATTCTCAACTTTTTCAGCTTTTTGGACACCATCATTGTGGGTTTTGATACATTGTATCATGTCACTTAAGTTTTCTGTCATAGTATTTCCTATGTCTATGGTTAGGAAGAAGTACGCACAGAATCTCTAATAATAGTGACATATGTGTATATATTTTTACCTTTTGAATATAGTTTTATGAATAGAGTTTCCATCCATAGCTGTTAGAGGCATGGGACTCTTGTCAATATACCTGAGTATTTATGATTGCAAACATGTGTACGTTATTATTTTATTGGGCAAGATGGCCTATGAAATGGTCCTCTGTGATCTTATATGTTTTTTTTCTTCAAGAAAATTCCTTTTAAAATAAACGTGAATACTTTAAAGACCTTGTTTTTAATTATAGTCTATAGGTCTTTAATGAGCAGTATGAAATAAAGGTTTTAAATCCAAACCTGGTCACAGTCTCTAGTCACAGAGCACTTTCTTAGGTCCTTCAAGGAATTTTTATATTTTTTTTCCACATATGTTTTCCAGCTATACTGTGTTTTGATTTTTTAGGATTTAAACCTACAGAATTACAGAATTAGGATGTTTTCTTTGGGAATTATAGCTCACATCTGCGAATCTCTTTCCCATCCATGCCTTTACAGTGGGAAAGTCTTGTCACACAATTCTTTCCGGGATTCCACAAATTAAACCATTTAGTAAATAAGGAGGATCAGTATTAAGGTAAGCTGTGAGCTCATTGGATTGTTAATTCTCCTTGCTGTGACTTACCAAGTGATGACCGCAGAGTCCTCTTCCACAACTTGATTTTTTGTTTCAGCAATGCAAATTGGATTTTGATAGCAAGAAAATTGCTGCTCGATTTCTAGCTTTATAGCTGAGTTACCTGAGTAGATATTTAAAACTCTCATAAGTTTAAGGCTATTTTTCTCACTTGTAAACGTAACTCTTGCTAGCCACTGATGGCTTATGCTTGTAATTCTAGCTACTCAGGAGGCTGAGATCTGAGGAACATAATTAAAAGCCAGCCCAGACAGGAAACTCTGTGAGGCTCTTACCTCCAACTATCCACCAAAAAGCCAGAAACGGAGCTTGCCTCAAGTGGCAGAGTGCTAGTCTTGAAGTGCAAAGCTCAGGATGGTGCCCAGGCCCTGACTTTATGCCCTAGTACTCCCACAAAAAAAAAAAAAAAAAAAAGAAAAGAAAAGAAAGAGAAGGTAATTCTATTTCAAAAGCTTTTTTTTAAAAGAATCATATTAATTCACACAAAGTTTCTAGATCACTGTGTAGAACTTGACAAGAATGAGCCCTGTAATGCCAATGAAGCATTCACTGAGGTCCTTCTTTATGCCGAGTGCTGAGCTCAACTAACTTGAGGATAGCAGAAATTTGTAAGATATTATCCTTCCTCCTCCTCCTCCTCCTCCTCCTCCTCCTCTTCCTCCTCCTCCTCCTCCTCCTCCTCCTCCTCCTCCTCCTCCTCCTCCTCCTCCTCTTCCTCTTCTTTTTTGTTGGGTGTGGGGCCTGAACTCTGGGCCTGGGTGCTGTCCCTCAGCTCTTCAGCTTAAGGCTAGCGCTCTACAGCTTGAACTACAGTGCCACTTTCAGCTTTTTCTGCTTATGTGGTGCTGAGGAATCGAACCCAAGGCCTCATGCATGCAAGACAAGAACTCTACCACTAAGCCACCTTCCCAGCTCTATATTATCCCTCCTCTAAGCAATGCTACTTCAGTACAAAAGGCTAAACCTTTCAATCAGTGGGTAATGTCTGGATTCTGACATTAGTTATGAGACCTTGAGTATTTTGCACAGGACTTCCAGTTGATCTTTGAACTTGCACTCTGATTCCCCAAACTTTTGGATTAATACTTTCCTTCCCCAGCTACTCCCAGCTGTTGGCCCCGATAGCTTTAAACAACATTTAGACTGCTCTGACCTTTGTCAGACCAGACCAAGGCAGACCACATGAAGTAGGATGTGTTGATATCCTGATAATATTTTATCCAGGTGCTTTCACAATAATTTTGTCAATTTTTTTTTATCTAAGAGACCTTTCGAAGCAGTGATACTATGTTCTAGAGTTTTGGTACAATGCCAGGTTCCACTGTATACTAACTTGGTGGCACAAGGTAGTGCATTTTGCTTATTTGCTTTTTCTGGTACTGTTGATTGAGTTCAGGGCCTCATGTGTACAGTTGCTGGGAAAGCTCTCTACCATTCAGCCATACTTACTTTATTTTTTAATATTTTTGCTTTTTTGCTTATTTTATTTTTTAGATAGGATCTCACATGCTCTTCCTCCCAGGTACTAACCTCAGTCTATGAGCATCCTACTTGTACCTTCTATGTAACTGGAATTATAAGCATGTACCACCATCCCAGACTTGGGCAATCATTTTTTTTTGACTGCAGATTTTGGCACATCAGAACCTAAGAATAATTATTCTATATAGCTGACATCACTGTTTTACATTTATATCTGTGGTAATACATATTTTGAAAGTTTTTTAGAAGTACAGAAGAATTAAAAAAAGTAGTGCAAGGAGTTTAAATTGATCCTCACTGGAGCTTGCTTTAACGGTGATAATTCCCGTAGTTACTATATTTGTAGAAATATTGTTTTTAACGTATTTACAATGTACTGTGTGATTTTTTAAAATTTCCTTTGTATGTTCTTCCCCCATGGTATAACCCCTGTTTTCACTTGATTCTGGTGCTCTGCATCTGGGATATACATTTTTCTAATTGGGGAGGGGAAGAGAAAATAACAAAATGCTGAAATAAGGATACAGGTTGACCCATTGTAACAATGAGCTATACAAGACGATCTTTACAACTTTGGTGGTGGTGGGGGGCGGGGAAGGAGGAGTCTGGAAGATGGGGAGGGAAGGGATGGTAGGGGAAAAACAAAGGAGGAGGTAATAATGCTTAATAGGAAATGTACTCATTACCTCACTCATGGAACTGTAACCCCTCTGTACAGTATCTTTACAATTAAAAACATATACAAAAAAGAAATAATGAATATTTACACAGCACTATGTAAAATGTCTGGATTGAATTAAAAATACAATACTTCTTTTTTTAGCTTTTTTCCAGCAGATTATGGAGTACACAGAGGAATACCGAAATAAGCCACTGCTTAAACTCTGGATTGGCCCAGTGCCCCTGGTGGCCCTGTATGAAGCAAACAATGTGGAGGTAGGTATGTGATAAATAACATAGGTGTTTTGCTAGGTATTTGAGGGCACAATTCATCTGAACAAGTGTAATTTCATTTTGACTCAAACTAAAGAGAGTTCATTAAGCATTTTAGGCTGTGTTGTTAGCATCGGATGTTCTCAGGAAGTAGTTCAAATACCCCTCCGTATGTCTTTGTATAGTTTTCCTCAGGTCTCAATATATTTGTCCTATGGTTTGTAGGAACAATAAATAGATTGTTCCACAAAGTTACTGTTTGTGAGCTGTCATACACAGCTCTAAGATTCCAAAGTGCATGACTCAAAATGTGTTTCCCTCAAGGTCTTAGGGTGTTATTTTCTGCCAGTGATACATTTATTATTTCATATTTACAAGCTATACATTATTAATCTGGACTGATAATTCCCTTGGTCTACAGAAAATTTGGATCTCTGCACTCATTACTGTGCTACTGAGGAAATTATCTTGTAATATGTAGAGAAAAGGACATGGCCAGGTAGCAAAAGTGGAATCAGCAGAGCTTCTCTTCCTAAAATTAAAAACAAACTTTGTCAGGAACTAGTGCTGGGACATAGCTTTCTTAGTTATTGTGGTAGAAAGGTTGGAATTTCCCTTGTACCACACTCCAGAGTCTAGTCCCGAGAAGATCGTGAGAGAACCAGGCATGGAATTTTGGCGGCCAGGCCTAGCAAAAGAATGTGTGGTGTATTGTAGGTAGAGATCTGTCCAAGGTACAGAGGACTGGAGTGAGAAGCCTGAGAGCATTCACGCTCAATCCTAGATGTTCATTCCTTCTTCTTTATCTTGGCTCTAGGAATCTAGCCCTAATCATGATTTCCAATGCTCAAATATGTCAAATATATGCCTTAATGCCTTAACGTGTGTGTGTGTGTGTGTGTGTGTGTGTGTGTGTGTGTGTGTGTGTGTGTGTGTGTGTTGTTAGTAAGGCTTGAACCCAGGACCTGGGCACTGTCTCTTAGCTTTTTCACTCAAGACTTGTGTTCTGACACTTGAGCCACAGCTCTACTCAAGATAAGAATCTTCAGACTTTTCTGACCAGGCTAAGATCCTCAAGTCTCAGTCTCCTGAGTCACTAGGATTATAGGCATAAGTCACCAGTGCCTGCCTATATTACTTTGGTTTTTATCTTGAACCTCCCACTTGCTTTCAGATCATTGCAACTCAAATGCCTCAAAGTCAGTTTAACTAAGGACAAACCCATAATTTGCATTGCTGTAGTCATGGCAACCTGACACTTTCCTTTCTTCCCTCCACCCTTGCTGATGTTCACCACATGACTCCTAGTTCAGGCAAGAATCACAGAGTCATCTTTTATTTTTTAATTTAATTTAATTGTAAAGATGTTGTACAGAGGGGCTGGGAAGTGGCTCCGTGGTAGAGCGCTTGCCTTGCATGCATGAGGCCCTGGGTTTGATTCCTCAGCACCACATAAGCAAAAAGAAAAAAGCCGGAAGTGGCACTGTGGCTCAAGTGGTAGAGCGCTAGCCTTGAGCTGAAGAGCTGAGGGACAGCGCCCAGGCCCAGAGTTCAGGCCCCACGACCAGACCCGCCCCCCCCACACACAAAAAAAGATGCTGTACAGAGGGGTTACATTTACATGAGTAAGGTATGTTTCTCATTGGACATTATTTTACACATTTCCATTTAGTTCCTGAGACTTGCTCAAAATTCTGGTGGGAGTTCTTTAAGGCACAGGAATGGAAATGAACTAGAGAAAGTAAAATCTGTGAAATATTTACCTTAAGGAGTTATGTCCTAAGTAGGTACTATATTGAAGTTTCTTTCATGTCTGTTTCTCTTAAATATTTTTATTTTCTCTTCCTAAGGTGATTTTAAGCAGTTCAAAGCAAATTGACAAGTCCTTTATGTACAAGTTTCTAGAGCCATGGCTTGGCCTTGGGCTTCTTACAAGGTAGGTCTGTGTATATTGTAAAGCTCTCTTGTTGATAGAGTTACTTTTACAGTATGTTGTTGTTCCTGCAATTGAAAGAAGATAATTTTTCTGTAGCAAAACTATTTTCAAGGAGTACTAACAACTGGGTGCCTGGTGGCTCACGCCTGTAATCCTAGCTACTCAGGAGGCTGAGATCTGAAGATTGAGGTTCAAAGTCAGCCCGGGAATGAAAGTCTGTGAGACTGGAAGTGATGCTGTGGCTCAAGTGGTGAGCACTAGCCTTGAGCTGAAGAGCTGAGGGACAGTGCCCAGGCCCAGAGTTAAAGCCCACAACACATGGGAAAAAAGAAAAAAAAGAAGGACTAAGAAGGCTGGAAAGAAAGATCCTGTTAACATCATGCCTTTGACAAGTAAAAGTCCAGAGTAGATGGTAATTGCTGGCTTTTGTATTAGTGATGAGTATCGCCAGCATTTCAAGAAGAACTAGGAAATCCTGATGTTCAAGTGCAGTAGAGCAACGGAGTTAGAGCAGAGAAATCTTGAAAGGCCAGTGGCAATGAACCCCCCCACCCCCGCCCCCCAATAAGTACATAGTGGCCAGTGACCTTCACCCTCCACCTTGACCTCTCATGAAGAAATAGAACTCCGGCCTATTTGTGGAGGGAGGGCTCAGCAAGCCAAAGACAGTAAATGCCAAAGGACTGGAAAATTCCAACAGTGGAAATTAGGCAGAGTCATGGAGCATGGTAGTTATCTGAGGATTAAGGTATCCATGGAAGAAGAAAAAAATCTTATTTGTAGAAACTCAGAATATAGACATGAGGAAAAAGAATCCTAAAGATTTATATTTTCCCAATGTTATTTTAACTATTTGTATTATACATCAGTGTCTGAGAGATTGGCATCTTGTAACTGTATATGAATATTGTATATATCTATATATCTGTCTTTGCTATTCTCATCAAAGCCTTTGGTCACACTCATGGGCTTTTTATTTGGGATATTACTCCTTTTTAATTTGTAACCATTTTTTGTACTTTTAGTACTGGAAACAAGTGGCGCTCCAGGAGAAAAATGTTGACACCCACTTTCCATTTTACAATCCTGGAAGATTTTTTCGATGTCATGAACGAACATGCAAATATATTGGTTACAAAGCTTGAGAAGCATGTTGATCAAGAAGCATTTAATTGCGTTTTCTCCATCACTCTTTGTGCCTTAGACATAATCTGTGGTAAGTCTGATTGGTTTGTGTCTCAAGTAGTGGTGTAGAGATAAAATGGCTCATAAAATAACCATTCATTAGAAAATCAATGGAAAGAACTTTTCAGAAAGGACCCCAGATTCCTCATGGCAATGTTACTGATAAATGAGCTACCCTAGATGCAGCAGGCATCTTTTAGGATGGTGAATAGAGGACCTTAGCCAGCTTGTTGACAAAGTGAAGAGAAGGACTGTCAGGAGCAGGAAGTAGGAGAAACAGAAGCCACCAACAGAAGAAAGGAGAAGAGCATTTGGAAAATGCGGGAGAGCGAACAGTGTTCATGTCTCTTTAGTGTCTACTGTTGAAAAATAAACCTGAGTAGATAATTTAAACACCTACTTCTCACCTGTATCTTACAGAAACAGCTATGGGGAAGAATATTGGTGCTCAAAGCAATGGTGATTCTGAGTATGTCCGTGCAGTTTATAGGTAAATTGAATTCCTTTAATTATTAAATTAGGAGTTAGCCTTTTCAAATATTGTTAATTGCTTGTGTCTGTGTTGTCTATTTTTTTATTGTAAGTAAAAATATCTAATCCTAGCACTCAGGAGACTGAGGCAGGAGGATTGAGGGTTCAAGGCCACCCTGTGCTATACAAGCCAGCCTGAGCTATACAGTAAGATCCTATCTCAAAAGCAACACAACACAGCACAACAAAGCAAACAAAGCTAAACCAAAACAGCAACATGAGATAGTAAATTAAAATTTAACCTCAAGACTTAACTGTATCTTTCATTTATTTCTTTTCAGGTTTGATTTTTTTTTTTATTTAAGCAGTTGTACAAAGAGGTTCCAATTCAACATATCACTTGATGAGTTCAATGCATCTTGGTCAATAGCACCACTTTTTAAAAATTTTTTTTTATTGTGAAAATACTGTACGGAGGGGTTACAATTACAATAGCAAGATAATGAGTACATTTCTTATCAAGCATTGTAGCTTCCTCCTTTGTTTCCCCTTCCCATCCCTTCCCATCCTCCCTGTCCCCCTACCCAAAACTCCCCCCCCCCCACCAAAGTTGTAAAGTTCGTTTTTGACATAAGGACTTGTACATCTCATTGTTGCAATGGGTCCACCTGTATCCCTATTTAAATGATTTGTTTTTCCCCTTCCCCTCCACAAGTTATACCGACATGAAATACAGTGAAAGCAGGGGTTATACTGTGGGGGAGGGACATACAAAGCAACAAAGATATAATCTTATAAATGTGTTAGAAACAATCGCATGAAAGAAAAAAAACATTTGAATACATAGCTTAGGGTTCATTTCCCTAACATCACCTTATCTGACCTTTTCTGCTTGACTCAGACATATACTAGTTATTGCAAATAAGGGAAACCATGGGACCTATGTTTCTTTGGGCCTGGCTTACTTCACTTAATATAATTTTTTCCAAGCCTTTCCATTTCCTAACAAATGGGGCAATGCCATTCTTTCTGATGGAGGCATAGAATTCCATTGTGTATATATATCACATTTTCTTGATCCATTCATCTACTGAGGGCCATCTGGGTTGGTTCCATATCTTAGCTATAGTAAATAATGCTGCAATAAACATAATTGTGCTGGTAGCTTTAGTGTGGTCTTGTTTGTAAACATTTGGCTAAATGCCCAAAAGTGGGATTGCTGGGTCATAGGGGAGCTCTATGTGGAGTCTTTTGAGGAACCTCCATACTACTTTCCAAAGTGGTTGAACAAGTTTACACTCCCACCAACGATGCAGTAAGGTTCCCTTCTGTCCACATCCCCTCCAGCATCTGTTGTTATTAGAGTTCTTGATTTTAGCCATTCTAACTGGGGTGAGGTGAATACCACCACTTTTATGCTCTCTCCTAACCATGAATTTAATAATAGAGGAGTGGTTATATCACTCATGGCAAATTGAGATTATACATCAATTTAAAGTGATTGTTTTCCAAGATATTGACATTCCATTGTGATACTAGATAGCAAAATAAATAAATTCTGCAGTATGATAGTTACTAGCATGTAAAAAATATTTATAGGAAAAAGCTATATGAAGCTATACTAAAGTGTTAGCCTTTCTTTACTATAGCATTTTGCTTTCCTTTTTATTTATTTTCCTTTTCTATGTTTTCAGCAATGAGTAAATATTATTTTTGTATCTGAACCAATTGATGTTTACTTTAAAATTGCTTGTTTAGTTTTTATTTAGCTATGAGGATGCAATGTGTTTTAAGTTCACTGTACGTTTTACATCATTTTAACAGATATTAATTGTACATGTATAATTGACCAACCAGTGTACAAGGTACTAATTTTATAGTGTTACTCAAAACAGAATGAATAGTGGAAATGAGCATCAAATCAACCAATATGAACTTATGCAATCTTGGCTTAGGAAGAAAAGACCAAGTTGAGTTTGATGGGAATCAAGGATGTGTTGTTGGATGGAGAGGTCAAGGAGAGCCTCTGGGAAGGATTGGTGCTAAAGAAGTATCGGTGCTAAAGGAGATGAGATACAAGTCCTTCTGATCTGTCTCTGGAAATGAGAGTGATGTACTCAGGGCAACCATGTGACACATCATTATTTAATGTGCACTTGCAACACAGCTGGTTGCTTTTTCTGCACCTGTAAAAGAAGGCAGAATTTATCTCTGCACTTTTGATACAAAACTGCAGGCAGCCTTGGGAAGTTGAAAACATTCTAGAGAAACACAAGCACTGATCACAGGCCATCTATCGGTAGATAACATTTTATAGTGGGTCTTCATGCCTGTAAAGAGAAATGAGTGTAGATAGATAGATAGATACAGTTTCATTGGTTATGCTATAGCTTAATCTTTAGTACTAAGCATGGAGACCTTAGTAGCCTTGAACATTGGTCATATCATTCTTAGGGGTTACTTTCATGTAAACCAGGTAGGATCATGTAAGTGTTCAAGAAATATATGTTCCTGATGTGAAAGATGGTATATTTATCCTATTTATAGGATGAGTGATATGATCCATCGAAGAATAAAGATGCCCTGGTTTTGGCTTGATCTTTTGTACCTTATGTTTAAAGAAGGATGGGAACATAAAAGAGGACTTAAGATCCTACATACTTTTACCAACAATGTAAGTCACTGATGTTTTCTTGTTGTGGTAAAATATACTTACTGTGAATTGATACCAATTTTTGTATAAGTTTGTGACATTAAAGGCATTTACAATAGTGTGCCAGAACTATTTTGTAAGAGTATGATTTTTATGTATTGTCAATGTAGCTAGTGAATGCCAATACAGGGAGTCTCATAAGAATAAAAGTAGAATGGAATAAGAGTGGGAAAAGTGGTTAGCATGATTGCATTCAAATGATATATTCAAGTAGAATTGACCAAGTACTTTCTGAATGCCAAAAACATTGGAAGCAGAATAGGGAATGAGATTAGTATGTTCCCATCCCTGATAGAGGCTAGTTATCTATAAACAAGTAATTGTAATACAGATTATAAACACTTGCCAATAAGATGCTGGGTAGAAGGGTCAGGAGTCCCAGACCTGTGGATCTGAGTTCTTTGGAGATTAAAGAGTTTGCAAAAATATTTATTAAAGTAATACATATCTTAATTTGCAAAAAAATAGCCAACTACTACTATTTTATTTCAAACTGAAAAATAACTAGGAGATAGGGATAGTATATCAATTTTTGTATCAATGGTATGCTTAAGAAGCTTGGCTTTGTGGCTCATGCCTATAATCCCAGCTCCTAGAGGTGGACAGGAGTGTAGAGATCACAAGCAATGTGGCTTATTTATATATGTAATTCTTGCAATGCAGGTGGCAGAGGTAGAGAGATTGGGCCTAAGGCCAGTGCAAAAACCTGAAACGGAATTTGAAAAAGAATCTAGGGCTCAAGCTGTAAAGTGGTTAGCCATCAAGCAAAGAGTCATGAGTTTAATCCCTAGCATCCCTCCCCACCACACACAAAAAAAGCAAGAAAGAAAAAAGAAATCAATAAAAAGAGATAAAGTTATGTTTTTTTTAAAAAGCAAGATACACAGAGGTACAAAGTTATCATTTAAAGTGCTAAGAAACTTTTTTCTTTCTTTGCTATTAACTTTGGTTACGATGTATTGAGACTGTTTTCATATGGTAAGAAAGTCCCTGCCACCAACAGATCAAATGACAAAAAAAAAGTCAGTTGATGGCAAATGAATGTGATATTGGCTTGAACTTGCCACCATCTAATAGCTTGAAGAAAGAGCACACAGGTTGCATTTTACAGTTACATTTCTCCTTACAATTCATACTTTGGTATCTTAATATTAATATTAAAATTCAGGCAGATGGGACAAGGTTACTGGAGAAAGATACTGAATCGTAAATGTGATGGAATGTTAACTGGTAGGTGGAAATGAGAAAAATACAGTAAGGTAGTGAGGGCAGCTATGCTCCAAGAAGGTTTTGATTGGGTACCAGTGGAAAGATGGGAGAATGAACCATGCGGGTATCCCAGGACAGCACATCTAGGAAACATCCTTTTGCTGTTTCTTTTCTAACACAACAGGTAATTAAAAGTTATCTATAATGAGTAAAGTTATCTATAATGAGTCTATTACATAATAATTGCTTTATCTCTGCCACCTACACTTTTTCTCATTAGAGCATTCAAATCTCTAGGGTATGATTTTATAGAGTATGACTATATTCCCCATGATAGAAAGATTACAAATTTGGCACTGTGCTTTTCTGACATTAATTTTTTATATAGAGTATGTGTATGTGCTGTTCCTGGGACTTGAACTTAGGGCCTGGGCGCTGCCCCTCAGTATTTTTTTCTCAAGGCTAGTGCTCTACCACTTGAGCCACAGCTCCTCTTCCGGCTTTTTGGAAGATGTTTAATTGGAGATAAAAGTCTCATAGACTTTCCTGCCTGGGCTGGCTTTGAATCACCATCCTCAAATCACAGCCTTCTGAGTATCTAGGATTATAGGCATGAGCCACCGGTGCCCAGCTATTTTTATAGTTTCGTTGACTAATTCTCAAAATCTTAACAGAAATTTTTACTGGATTTTTACAAGAACTCGGGTTATGAGACTTGAAAGGGTAGGAAAGGTTTAGGAAAAAGTAACTTGAAGAAAGCTTGCATGCCTTCATAGGAAAAAATGTAGCCTTCACCTAGTCCAGACAAACTCAAGTGACAGTCATTTAAATTGTTCAGGTCATTGCTGAACGGGTTAATGAAATGAAGACAGCGGACGAATGTAGCTCAGGAAGCGACTCTGTCCCTTCCAAAACCAAACGCAAGGCTTTTCTGGACTTACTTTTAAGTGTGACTGATGACAATGGGAACAAGCTAAGTCATGAAGATATTCGAGAAGAAGTTGACACCTTCATGTTTGAGGTACTCTGTATTTTCCGGGTACTTTCTGATTCCACAACTCAGGGTGTAGCTCAATAAAATACTTGCCAAGCTTGCTGACCTCCATGGTCAATCCCCAGCATTGCAAACCAAGAAAGACTTTTTAGATTATCATAAATTATAATACTCAGACACCTGATTAAATACTAGAAGAACTTCCTTCTTTAGAAGATGATTTTCACAAGATGGCTGACTCAGCAGCCGACATTCTAAAGGTCAAGTTCCTTCTTTTTCTTTGCTAGGCTGTCTGTCCAGTGAGGAAGTCATTTGATATTTTTTACTTCCTCAAGTATGAATAGTAGTAATTCAGATTTCTGAGAGTTTCTGTGAAGATTCATTTCTGGGACATACTTAGTATTTGGCTAACACTCAACAAGTATTAACTAAGTTGTTTATCAGTCTCTTGGTGTGGAGAATACTGCTAGGAACCACATATAAATTCTACATCAACAGGCAAAGCTACATTACAATGGCAGAAAGAAGAGAACTACAGATCTGTCAGGTTGACTCCTCAAAGTCAGATCATTCAGCCTCTTAAAAAGGTTTAGCTCACCAAGATGTGTTGATCTGCCCACCTCATTAGTAAAGATCAGCTATTTCCTGCAATGTGTGGCACTATAAAGCACTGAACATGAAATCTTTTTCTTTCTTTCTTTGTGCCAGTCCTAGGGCTTGAACTCAGAGCCTGGGTTCTGTCTCTCAAGGCTAGCACTCTACCACTTGAGCCATAGTTCCTGTTCTGGCTTTTCTTTCCCCTCCTGTCCCCTCCTCTTCCTCCCTCCCTCCCTCCCTCCCTTCCTTCCTCCCTCCCTTCCTTCCTTCCTTCCTTCCTTCCTTCCTTCCTTCCTTCCTTCCTTCCTTCCTTCCTTCCTTCCTTCCTTCCTTCCTTCCTTCTTTCCTTTCTTCCTTTTTTGGTGTTTAATTGGAAATAAGAATTTTTCCTGCCTAGGCTGACTGGCTTTGAAGCTCAGTCCCCAGATCTCAGCCTCCTGAGTAATTAGGATTACAGGCCATGAGTATTCAGCTTGAAAATGCCATCTCTAAGCAGGAGCTTCTTATTAGTAAGAAATTGTGTTGTTTGTTTTTCACGGAGGTGACATGTGCCATGGGAATATTTCATGTTTTGCAGTCACACTACAGCTGTCAAATGTAGGGAGAATTCAAACGATGTAAATAGCTACTCCTAATCTTCTCAATAGAACTCTATTTTTAAGCTTGTTTTTTTTTTTTCCCTTATATTTGTAGGGCCATGATACCACTGCAGCTGCAATAAATTGGACCTTATACCTTTTGGGTTATTATCCAGAAGTCCAGAAAAAAGTGGATAATGAATTGGATGAAATTTTTGGTATGTTTAGACTCTTTGCTAGTTTTGCTAGTTTTAGATCCTAAGCCCTTCCAAGCAAATGTTATTCTTGTTCATTTAAAGACCATCAAGAGGTTCTACAGCTACAGTCATAAGCACAAAGGGGCCATGTAAGACCCCTTTCCCTTCTGCAAGCCCTTCAATAATCCCTAGCAGGCATTCAGCAGTCTTTTGGTAAGTGATTGTCTTGATCTAGACCATCCAAGGCACAAATCAAAGCGATTGCCTTCACCATCCAACTGGTTAATATGTAAAACAGGCACATGCATATAAAGAGTCCTGGGCTTTACCTTTGAGTAGATTGAAAAAAGGTGCAATTTGGGAGGTCAGAGAAGCAGGTAAAGCTATTTCTAAAGGCAAAGGAACGCTCTTTCATATGCAACTGCCCCGACCACAAATTAAAGAGCAGCTGTGTGAGTTCACGAAAGGTAGATTTCTATTCCAAAGCAATCTGGAGGTACAGACCTAGGCTGATGCTAGTAGACATGTCCCAAGGCCTCAGATTTGCTCTTCCACATCTCCCAACTCTACCATCTCGTCTCTTTGCTCCTTGTTCTAGGCATCAGACTCATCTTCAGAGCATGAAGAAAGGGGATATAGGGTATATTGGATTCCTGCAGAAATTGTAACAAACTCTTCAAATAGTGAGGGTTAACACAACAGAAACATACTTTCTTGATAGTTTTGAATACCAGAAGTCCAAATCAACATGTTGTCAAGAATGTGCTCTTTTAAATTTCTGGTGACTGCCAGGATACTATGGCCTATGGGTACATCAGTGCTTAAACCTCTGCCTCAGTCTTCACATTACTCTGTGTGTGTGTGTGTGTGTGTGTGTGTGTGTGTGTGTGTGTGTGTGTGTGTGTGTGAGAGAGAGAGAGAGAGAGAGAGAGAGAGAGAGAGGGAGGGAGAGAGATACTGGAGATTGCATTCAGAGTCCTACTGAATCAGCCAGGAGAGTTTTCCAAGCTTACAACTTTTCCTAATATGAGTTTTTCCAAATAAGACAATATTTACAGATCCCAGGAATCAGAACTTGTTATCTTGGGGGCTCTTACAGGAGGAATCTCACCACTTTTATCCTTTATAAAACCATATGTCAGGGCCGGGAAGGTGACTCAGTGGTAGAGTGCTTCCCTTGCATGCCTGAGGCCCTGGGTTTGATTCCTCAGGACCACATAAGCAAAAAGAAAAATGCTGGAAGTGGCACAGTGGCTCAAGTGGTAGAGCGCTAGCCTTGAGCAGAAGAGCTGAGGGCCAGCGCCCAGGCCCAGAGTTCAGGCCCCACAACTGGACACCCCCCCCCAAAAAAAAAGAAAAACCGTGTCTCATGATTCCCCACAGTCAGAGCATGAGAAAACAACAAGTTGAATTGTCCAACCATCATTGTGGTATCTGATTCAATTTCATAGAGAAAAGAAGTAGGAGCCAGGAACTGCTGGCTCATGCCAGCGATCTTAGCTATTTGGGAAGCTGACACTGGGAAGATCCATGGTTCAAGGCCAGCCCAGGCAGAAAAGTCTATTAGAACCCTTCTTAATTCATAATTGGTAGTGGTGTCACATGCTGGCTTTCCATCCTAAATTACCTGGGAGGGTAAAATTGGGAGGATCATGGTTCCAGGTCACAGTTCCAGCCTGGGGAGGGGGGATAAGGGGGGCAGGCTCCCGCTATGAAGATGGAGCTCGACAAAGCAGTGCACAGCAACAAGAAGCCTACAACAGTTGGGTTGTGGTCCAGGTACACACCCTGACAGGAGGACAGTGACTCTATCTGAAAAATAAGCCAGTGAGAAGTAGAGTGGTAAGCATGAATATCTGCCTACCAAGCTTGAGATCCTGCGTTCAAATCCCATTACTGCCTTACCTCAACACACTTTCTCGTGTTCTCTCCAATTGCAATGGCTACACGATTTGCTAGTTTTCCCAATGCTCTTTAACCTTGCATAATTAGTAACACTATTTTTCTTACTACAATCACTGCTGTGTTCGTGTTTTCACTTACTGAGCACTTTGATAATTAGGTCCCAAAATTTTGGCTACTGAGTTGCAAGTATTGATCCCTTTTGTTGGTTTTATAATGAAAATGAATGGCACATAACATAAAAACAAACATTTGAATGTATATGTTTCAGCGACATTTAGTACATTTACAGTGTTGTGTAACTCTTATCTTTAATTCCCAGTGTTTTCAGCACTCCAAAATAAACCCTTTACCTTATCTTTCTGTCCTCCCTCTACATCTGAATAACCACAAGTTTGCTTTCTGTCTAGAAAGGATATAGTACAATATGTGTGTACTTATATCTTTGATTATGCATAATATTTGACATTCTAATGTAGTTTTTAAATTTTTTTTGCCAGTCCTGGAGCTCAAATGGGCTTGGGCACTGTCCCTGATCTCTTTTTAGCTCAAGGCTAGCACTCTACCACTTGAGCCACAGCACCACTTCCGGTTTTCTTTAGTGGTTTGATTGGAGATAAGAGTCTCACAGACTTTCCTGCTTGGGCTAGCTTTGAACCATGATCCTCTGATCCTGAGTAGCTAGGATTAAAGGCATCAGCTATGAGTGCCCTGCTGACTCTTGCCTTTTGTGCTAGTGCTAGCTTCACATCTTGATGCTCAGGATCTCAGCCTCCTGCATAGCTAGGATTATGGACATGATGCTGCCTACAGTCAGCTCATTTTCTCTTCCTATTCTGACTTTAAACCAGGGAAGTCTGATCGCCTTGCTACATTAGAAGACTTGAAGAAGCTTAAGTATCTCGAATGTGTCATTAAGGAGACTCTTCGTCTTTTTCCTTCTGTCCCTTTTTTTGCCCGGAGAATTACTGAGGACTGTGAAGTGGGTAAGTGTTCTATAATTACAGTAGTCTTGAGAGTGGATCCAATGTCCCATGTCTGTCTTGCACCTGTTTTATGACCTGTCCCCTCACTTCTTGACAGCGGGTTACAAAGTGTGGAAAGGCACGGAAGCAGTTATCATTCCCTATGCTTTGCATAGAGATCCTAAGCACTTCCCAGACCCCGAAGAATTCCAGCCGGAGCGATTCTTTCCTGAGAATTCCCAAGGACGTCACCCGTACTGCTATGTGCCCTTCTCTGCTGGACCTCGGAACTGTATAGGTTTGTATACACATGACTATGCTTCACCTTCCAATCCCATGTGAGAGTAGGTTTCTAACAAGGCTTTCTTTGAGCTGTGGTTTTACATTTCTCATGTGTGAAAGTCTTAAAACTTGGGGCCCATCCACTTTACAGTATAGTTTTAAAATATTACTGTCAGAGTATAGTGCTTTGCTATGGCTGATCTAACAAAATACTGTAGACAGGGCGGTTTAAACAACAGAACTTTACATTTCTTTACAGTCAGTGTCAATAGATTTTGTTATTTATTTACTTATTTATTGGGGGGGGTCTCTCAAGTTTATAGTCTTCACTTGGTCTTTGCTCTTTGTGTACCCGTGTTTAGTCAACTCTATCAGTATGTATTTGTCCCCACTTCATTTGACTTTAAGTTTAACCATTTAATGTTTATGTTCTCTTTTAAGACTGTATTTCTAACTATTGTCATAGAATGAAATGCTCTGGTTCAGGTTTTCCACTTAGGAATTTTGGATGTGGACACAAGTCCGCCCATAAGAGAACATATAATCAATACTATAATAGTATTTTAAAATGTTGTAGGTATGAGACTAAAGAAGAATTATTGTAGTAGCAATTATATCAGTTAGTCAGGCATAACTTTATTTTTGTGCTTATTTTTAAGAGGTGCACCATATAATGCCAAAACAAAGAATGCTTGCCATGTGGCTACTTAAAGTACCTAAGGAAATGAGTGTACTTCACCATGTAGTATAAGCACTCACAGTAATTCTAGTATTTTACATTTTCTGTAAATGCTGACATTAGCCAATTGAGGCTAGATCTAGGTGTGTGAATCTGAAGTACATTGGTGAATTTATAGTAAATTAAAGAGCGAATGAAAAGCAACTTAACATAGTTATTTTCAGGCTTGAATGAGACTAAAATCCATCTGGGTGATAGCCATCCACAGGTATCTTCAAGGAACATGGTCCTCCCATGGATACCAAGATATTCAAATTCCGTCTACAAAATGTTGTAGCATTTATATATAACTTAATCCGTATTCCTGTGTGCTCTAGGTTGATCTCTAGATTACTTACAATAGCTAATAAAAATGCAAATGCTATGCAAATAGTTGCCATACCACACTGTAGAGAAAATGACAACAAGAAAGCCTGCATGCATTCCACACAGATGCATCTTTTCCCCAACTATTTTTGATCCCTGATTGGAGGAGTTGGCAGACAGAGAACTGATGGGAGTGCAGGGTCCACGCTACTGGTAAAATAGAGATTCCTTGGCCCACTGTAGTTAATCAAACACACTGAGTGAAAGCAGAAAAGGGTATGTAAAAAATCTTCCTTTTAAAAAACAGCCAAAGTGGTTCTGACTCTTTTATGACCCATGTGAAGTTATAAAACTGCTCCTTCTTGTAAGAGTTCTGCTTCTTTCTCACATATGCTTATCTGTCATTGAAGTAATGGTTCTTATATTAATTTGAAGGTCAAAAGTTTGCTATGATGGAAGAAAAGACCATTCTTTCTTGTGTCCTGAGACACTTTTGGGTGGAATCGAACCAGAAAAGAGAAGAACTTGGCCTATCAGGAGATTTGATTCTTCGGCCAACGAACGGCATCTGGATCAAGCTGAAGAGGAGAAACACAGATAAATCTTAAAATATGTTCCCAGGCTGTGCCAAGATAAAGTCACTCTGTAAGGGATACCTGATGAGAAATGTATAGATCATGAATCTGGTACCCTGAATTTCCTGACCCCATTACTTTTGTTGTTCTACTGCGCTTGGAATCTACTTTATCAAAGAGAAGGCTTTTGTACTTTTCTAAAAAAAAATATTGTTGTAGATGTTAGGTTACCCATGCCGCTGAAGTACAGTGAACTATTGAGGTACAGTCAATACCCAAATAAACATTTATCAAGTTTCTCAAAAGAGAAACTCATAGGACAATCCCATTTAATTTGGTTGACTCAAAGGATGTAATTTAATTGCGGGTCCCAGGGCTTGAACTGGGACCAGCGCACAAAAAAGTGGCCTGGGCACTGTCCCTGAGCTATGTTTTGCTAGAGTCTTGTGCTTTAGCTCCCTTTATTGGCTTTTTGGTGATTAATTGGAGATAAGCATCTCACAGGCTTTCCTGCCCGAGGCCGGCTTCAAACCACAATCTTCAGACCTAAGCCTCCTGAGTTGCTAGGAATGTAGAAGTGAGTAGTTTGACTTAAGAGGCCTAGGTTTAAAAATTTTTATCAGTGGCAACAGTTATGGTAATCATCATTATGGGACTTTTCAGATTTTACTACCTAGAGCAGATCATTTGCATGCTGACTTTCCTTTGTTTAATATGCCCTTGTAGTCTTCTTTTTATTATGACCTGCATTGAACAAGTTCCTTCGGGCAGTGTCCAGTTAGAGTAGAACTTTTCTTCTTTTACTCTCATATTAGGAATAGCAAAGTATGATCTACAAGAAAAGAAATTTCTACTCGAAGTCCTTCTAGAAGCTGGGACAGATCTAGAAATCAAGGTCTGTACTCTAGATCTCTCTACTCCTTTCTGCTGCATTTTCTATAATACACTATGGCCTTACAGATCTCGACTATGATTTAGTTGTGTTATTATAACTCAAGATTTCTGCCTGTTGTTTAGACATATTTCTTTTGGAATTCTCCCACCTTCAAAAGAAAAAAGAAGCTTGATCTATGCCTAGTAAGCTAATAATAATCTACTTTAGTTTAGGGCTAGACCTCTACTTAATTCAGTGTCGCAGAACCTATCTATCCAACTATTACATATGTCCTGAATTTAAATTTGTATTTAATACCTCTATTTCTTACTGATTTAAAAACTTATTTTAATAAATAAATTTCACAAGATTGTTTTCAATTTTGTAATTTTGTATCTGCATTAGCAGATAGAATAGACTGCTTTTCAGTGGATAGCAAAGTAATAAGTTATCAAACCACAGCCATCTGGCAAACACTATAGCCTGGTGCTTTAGTGGTATGTGAGCAGTTGCATCTGCTTGTCTAACTATCTATAGAACTCCAATGAGTAAGTCCAATCCCTAAACAGATGCAGAAATAATCCAAGGACACATATGGGATGGATTCCTACAAATAGTTTATATCTAGCAAATGAAAATACATAAAAATTCTCATCCCCACATGATTTTTGCATATTACAGAAATTAGTGGGTTTTTTAAATTGTTGTTTATTGTTTTGCTAGTCCTGGGGCTTAAACTTGGGCTGGACATTGTCCCTAAGCTTCTTTTGCTTAAGGCAAGTGCTCTACGGCTTGAGGCACAGCACCATTTCTGGCTGTTTTTTGAGTAGTTAATTGGAGATAAAGAGTCTCATGGAGACTTTTTTTTTTTTTTTGGCCAGGGCTAGCCTTAAACTGTGATCCTCAAATCTCAGCCTCCTGAGTAGCCAGGATTATGGGCATAAGCCACCAGTGCCTAGCTAGAAATTAGTATTTCTTAATTTATGCCCTCATATTTATGCTTGCTAGTTTATTTTTAGTAAGCCTACATTAAGTATTAAATTAAATTGAAAATAAAACATTGTTCAATGTGTCTTTTAATCCAAGATCTTCATCTAGTCCTAAACTATTTTGATGCTCATATTTTAATGGCTTATTCACTAAAACTATATCAGAATTGGAACTGAGAAGTTATGTTATGTCCTGTAGTGTCAAAATGCAGTGATTTTGTTTTTTAAAAAGAAAATGATCACATGATCTGTTTGTGTTTCCACTGCTTATTTTACTCCCTCTTAAAAGAACAATCACAAGAAAAAGGAATTTTATATTTAGATGCTTTATTTTATTCTAAAATTTTATTTCTGTTTGAAATAAAGGAATCATTAAAAGTAATTCACTGGGCATGGATTCAAAATTGGTGATAAAACGTTTGAGATAATGTCATCACACTAGAGGAGAAGTGGAAATATCAGAGCTTCTTGCTCAGGAAATGAAATCTCCCAGGGCTACGTGGGTCTCATGGCTTAGAAATCTGTTCATTGTTATTGCACTGGTAAGGCATCCACTGTCCTTTCAAATAACTGAGACAGGTCAATTTCTGGACCAGCTCACCTATCTTAACAATTAAAGGTACTTGTCATAAAAGAGCAGTTTTTATTTGAGAATATTTCTAGAAAGGTTAAAGAATCCTTCTATCCATCACCTAATGAGATACCCAATAGGTATGATTAATTATTATTGGTAATAGTTTGCCATATATCTGTATCTATCTATCTATCTATATATACATATATATATAGTTTTGGAATTATCTCTGTTAGTTTTTAGCAACTACTGGAAAGAAACAATTTGAAAGGATGAAAACAACACGGTTCACAGTTTTAGAGAAGATCTTGTCCCAGGTTGGATAGACCCATTGGGTGTGAGGACAGACAGAATATCATCCCAGCCAAGAAGGAGAGAAAGAGAAAGGAAAAGGGAGAGGGAGAGGAGAGAGAGAGTGACAGAAAGAGAGACGAGAGAGAATATATTATTAGGAAAATGGAGGAGAAAGGAAGGAAACAGGCGCAAACTCCATCTTCACTTCTGGAGGCTTTTCACTTGGGCCCAAGATGGAATGTTTACAGTCAGGCTTAGCTAGATTGCCCAGCTGGAGTCAGGCTCTCTGCCTTTAACTTTGGTGGGTTACCTTTTATCTGTATGCACCTGGGAAAACAGGGTACACTCAATCCTTCCTCCATCTTTTAATACATAGAACAGGCCCAGAGGCAAGTCTTCATATATATCTGTTTTAGTGGGCTTCTGCCTCTTTCTCTTTATTGAATCCAGATGCCCAGTCTAAGGAATGGCATCACCTTTGTTCCTTAGTTAATTGTCTGAAAATTCTTAACAAGCACTAATCTACTTATTTACTAATTTCCAAATCCACTAGATGACTCTTAATTCAATCACTTCAACAATCACAGCACTCGTAAGTTCACTCCTGGTCAATTTAACATGCAAACATATCTTATTACACTGTTCTTAATCTCCAAATAAACATAGTGACAAGTTCACGATCTCACCTAATATAACTTAACTATCCTGCATACAACCCAAGTTGCAATAATTCCTTTCCCAAGGTGTCAGCTTTTTCAGTTTTGCTCATAATCCCAAGCCCAAAGTCTTCTTTGAGTCTCAAGGCAGTTTCTTAGCTGCAAGCCTCTGTAAAATCAAAAGAAATCTACTTGATTTCAATATTCTCAGCAAACAATGCTAACAAGTAAACATACCCATTGCAAAAAAGAATGGAAAGTACAGAAGAGACCAAAGGAAGTCCAAAGCCCACCAAGAAAACATTAAACCCATAGTTCAACAGCAGCAGTTTATGTACATTTAATAGGACATAAGCTCCAGAGAGCTTGAGCACTCCTAGCTATAGCTTGCTATTTGCAGCCCATACAGACCTTCTCTTGGTTTGGTTCCATTTTTTGCTTACAGCTGTCCTTGGCAGACATTTCTGGAATCTCAGACTTACTGGAGCCACATTGCAACTTTGCCTTGATAGCTTCATGCATCATACTTTCAAGAACTGAGTACAAAGATTCCAACGCTCTCATATATTGCTTATCCTACCAGGCTTTCTTTTGAAATTATACTGGAAGCCTCCATGATGTTGTAACTCTTATATTTAAAAACTCTTATATACAAAACCAACATCATGTAAGACTGCAGTGGTCTGTCAGTGCCCGGGCAGAGGGGCACCATAAAATGAGTCCTGGCAAAACAATTTCCGAGGCAGCCTGTGACCTGAAGTTCTCTCCCCAAGGAAAAGTCTTTCAAATACATTTGTTTTATATCCTTGAGTCAGTGATAGGTGAGGTCTGCTCAGTTTCTTAGTTGCTCTCAAGACGCCTCTCTTACTAAAGCAATACAAAATACTTGGCTTATTTTTAAAGATGCTAGTCTCTTCAACAACCAGGCCTTCTTCTACCCAACATTACCTAAATTTTCTGACCAAACCCAAAGTCTTAGTTCTCTGCTTGTTCCTTCCAATTTTTAATGTGCACCTGAATAAAAGTAATTGCATTGATGCCACAAGCTAAATGCTACATTGTCTTGAAACTTTCTCTGCAAGATTAGTTGATCCAGTATCTTTGAATTCCATTGATAAAATGTAGATAAGTTCTTTGCCAGAATATGACATATGTGGACACTAGTTCAATACAAAATATAATCCTAATATAATATAAAATATAATTCTAATTGGAAACCCCATATTTCTATCAGCATTATATTCTGAACTCCCAACAAAAGTACCCTGTGAGCAATTCTAGACTTTTCTCTCATACTTGGGACCTCTCTGACTTCTTAACTAACAGCAGGAAGCTCTGCTTTTCAAAACCTCTATAAAGAGGTTAAGTCTAGCCTAAGTAATATCCCATGTTGACTAGTTCAAATGCAAATGAGCAGAAATCTTCAGCATGTCATATAACATAATCATGGGCAGACATGCTATCTCATTGTATTCTCAGTCCTCAACCTGGGAAGTGTGGAAAAACATTTTTTTTTTTTTTTTTTAGAATTCTGCTTACCACTCCCACTTTTCAGTTTCATTCATCTAGCTCTCTCAAATTCACAATGGAATGCTTGCTTTCTTTTGAGTTGCTGGAACGCATTATTTCTTTCCTTGTAAGAAACCTTCAAACACAACACGAAAGTATCATTTAAGGAGATTTCAATCCCTAAGCTCACCTTTTAGGTAAACAACCCCTGAGAACTTCTGCAGAGCTATGGAGAAAGGGTGCCCTTGTTTGTCCCATTCATCTTTTCTCTTACTGAGTTGTCTTGCCAGCCTGATAACTCCAAAATTCATACTCTTTTATAGCACTCAGATCCAAGTGCTTTCTTTCTTTGTTTGCTGTTGTGCCAGTTAATACTCTAAAATTTAAAAGCAGCACAGCAGGTATATTTAAATAGGTAACTTTATGTTAGCCCAGAATATTTATTGTCATCCAGCATTCTAGTAATATAAAGTTTGTGAATCAACACTCTCCAAATATAAATTTACTAGTTAGAATGATGTTCTGTAATTCCAAAGAAGACCAACTGCAGGAGATCTATGGCCTCCAAATATTTCTGTAAAAACACAGGAAGGGACTGAATTATTTTGTGTATGTAATAGGTAAATCAAGGGCTGAGGGTTAGGAGTTGTAAGAAGGTGTATTTCAGTGCATTGTCAAACCAAGCAGCTGTAACAGAACAGCAAGCAAACAAAAACCAGATGAAATTTAAGCTTTAACATTAGACACCTGGGCCGGGTGCCAGTGGCTCACGCCTGTAACCCTAGCTACTCAGGAGGCTGAGATCTGAGGCTGAGATCAAAGCCAGCCGGGTCAGGAAAAGTCCTTGAGACTCCTATCTCCCATAAACCACTTAGAAAACCGGAAGTGCACTGTGGCTTAGGTGGTAGAGCACTAGCCTTGAGCTGAAGAGCTCAGGGAGAGTGCCCAGGGCCAGAGTTAAAGCCTCATGACTGAAAAAAATAAAAATTAGAAACCTTAGAGTGAATTGTGTGGCTCTAAGGCAAATTACCCAGTTCTCCATGAGCTAAACTTTTGAATGTGTTGCCACATCTTTTTTGTTGTACAAATTACAAATGAACAATTTTCTGAATATATAATGTACAACATGTCTCGACACACAAATACACACAAATGATATCACCATCAAGTTCTTTAATATATCCATTATCTCTCATAATTTACATGTGTGTAAAGACTATAGATCTTCTCTTCAGAAATTAGCAATTTAGAAGATTTTTTTCAAGTTTTTTATTACAAATCAACAAGGGTTTATCTCACAAAACATTGTTTTGCAGGATGAAGTGATTGTATGTATTAGAACCATG